TGCTGCTGCTGCTGCTGTTGTTGTTGTTGTTGCTGCTGCTGCTGCTGTTGTTATTGTTGTTGTTGTTGTTGTTGTTGTGGTTGTGGTTGTGGTTGTGATTATGGTTGTGGTTGTGGTTGTGGTTGTGGTTGTGGTTGTGGTTGTTGTTGTTGTTGTTGTTGTTGTTGTTGTTGTTGTTGTTGTTGTTGTTGTTGTTGTTGTTGTTGTTGTTGTTGTTGTGGTTGTTGTTGTTGTTGTTGTTGTTGTTGTTGTTGTTGTTGTTGTTGTTGTTGTTGTTGTTGTTGTTGCTGTTGTTGTTGTTGTTGTTGTTGTTGTTGTTGTTGTTGTTGTTGTTGTTGTTGTTGTTGTTGTTGTTGTTGTTGTTGTTGTTGTTGTTGTTGTTGTTGTTGTTGTTGTTGTTGTTGTTGTTGTTGTTGTTGTTGTTGTTGTTGTTGTTGTTGTTGTTGTTGTTGTTGTTGTTGTTGTTGTGTTGTTGCTGTTGTTGCTGTTGTTGTTGTTGTTGTTGTTGTTGTTGTTGTTGTTGTTGTTGTTGTTGTTGTGTTGTTGCTGTTGCTGTTGCTGTTGCTGTTGTTGCTGTTGCCTGTTGCTGTTGCTGTTGCTGTTGCTGTTGCTGTTGTGTTGTGTTGCTGTTGCTGTTGTGTTGTGTTGCTGTTGCTGTTGCTGTTGTGTTGCTGTTGCTGTTGCTGTTGCTGTTGTTGTTGTTGTTGTTGTTGTTGTTGTTGTTGTTGTTGTTGTTGTTGTTGTTGCGTCGTTGTTGTCGTTGTGGTTGCTAGTGTTGTTGTTGCTGTTGTTGTTGTTGTTGTTGTTGTTGTTGTTGTTGTTGTCGTTGTCGTTGTCGTTGTCGTTGTGGTTGTTGTGGTTGTTGTGGTTGTTGTGGTTGTTGTGGTTGTTGTTGTTGTTGTTGTTGTTGTTGTTGTTGTTGTTGTTGTTGTTGTTGTGGTTGTTGTTGTTGTTGTTGTTGTTGTTGTTGTTGTTGTTGTTGTTGTTGTTGTTGTTGTTGTGGTTTCTGTTGTTGCTGTTGCTACTATTGCTGCTGCTGTTCCTCTTGCTGTGGTTGTGGTTGTTGTTGTGGTGGTGGCGGTGATCTTCGTCCTCGTCCTCGTCCTCGTTGCCGTTGTTGTTTTCCCCTATCCCTTCAACCCTTCAACCCCCATGCATTTTGGTGGCTCCTACGTATTTTGGCTCCAACTCAAGCTGCAGTTGGGATGCTCTCAGTGACCTCCGCCAGGTTCAGGTCCAAACACTGCAAGATCACTCGCCGCGATCCGAACCTACGGATCGCTCATTCGCCGATTTCCGGGGTCCTGTCGAGTGAACCCGAGGGCTTCGCAAAATGAGGCTTTGAATAGTTATGGGGTCAGTGCGACTAGCTCCACATGTTCCATATACCCTTCCTCCCGCTAACATGGCATTTGTGGGAGGGCACCTGGAAGATCACTTTCCTCTTTAAGGGAGCCTCTGTCAGGAGCCATGTTAGTGGAAGGGAGGGCATCGGCTTGGAAAAGCACTGGCAATGCGAGTACTGGCCAGATCCTTAGCAGATTCTCGACTGGTTAGGCTGTATCCACTTTGATAGTTGACCCCCGGATGAATAAACCATCCTGTTCATCGGGAGGGTTCCCCCCAAAAGTGATGAATCTCAACTGGAAGGGGACACCCTCATCTCTCAAAATCAACCAAGGGCTTATTCAATCAGATGAGGCCTTTCCAGCCACTTCAGAACCTGGCATCAAGACCAAACAGTTGGTCCAAGGAGTGCTGACTAGGCCGAGTTCCGACGAGTTGCATCGCCCCAGAGGCGATCATCGGCAGCAAGGAGTAGCCGATATGACCCGCCCCGCCGCAAACGGTCACCTGCCAGCTGGCACAAAAAACCAGTCTACCTGAAATAAGGTGGGTGGGGGGCTACTCCCCACATAAACCGCCATTTGAAGTGAGGTAGTGTGAGGTCGTTATAATTCACCCAGGGGTATGTTGTTTTTCTTGCTGGTGCGATAGGCAGGGAATGCGAAATGGAATGACCCCTATAAACCATCCAACTGGTGGTTTCCTTTAAGGGAATCCCCAGATTCATTCCCTCATTCCCTCATCACTTTTTGCACTTGAAACCTGACGTTCAGACCTGGTCCCTTTCAAAGGAAAATGGTACACACCAGGAACCCCGAACGTCAGGTTCCATGTTTGGTGAAGGGTATGACAGTCTTGTTGTTAGGGAACCCGTTTTGGTTGGTTTTGGTTGGGGAAACCAGAAGAACTAAGACACTGTCAAATTCCAAGATGGAGTTCACTGCCACCAAACAAAAACACCGGGATTGAAGGGAGAACATCGCGATATTATAAACAGGAACATACCAAACAATCCAACTCGACTCGGGGTAGTGGATTGAAAGCAAACTTAGAGACTCCAAGATGATGTCTTGCTATGAGGGTTTGCCATACGACCCGAGAGTTAAAAAACAATATTACCTCAGCTTCTGCCCCCAACAAAAACGTTTGGTCCACATGTCGTACCTTGCCCCTTGCGTGTTTTTACAGGGAAACCAACAGGAAAGTACCATTTCATGCGCCGGGGCTTCCAAGCTTTAAGACACCCACATGGCTGTGGTTTAAAAAAACCAGTATCCAAAATGGAACCCTGGAAAGTGGAAACATGGACCAAAACCTGCGCCACCCGTCCTGTTTCATTTTGAGCCACACCCACACAGGTCGCACCTTTTCGAGGTTCCCCCGCGCCCCACTTGCACCGAGTTGCCGTCACCGGCTCCGTGACCATCCGCGACCCCCGCCGATCCAGGGCTGAGAAGCATGCGGTGTCGCGGCTGGCGGATGCGCCCATGGCGAAGAAGCGGTTCGATGCCAAGTGGAGGCTTCTCAAAATGGGATTCGGATCCCCTTGGTTCCTGATGAAAGGAAACCAAAGGAAAAAACACGCTCTCTTTTTTACGGGCACCCATCTTAAGAGCCCAAATGAGCAGTACTTCCATGCTGGAACGCAACTGGGTGCTGGGGCTGGTGAGGCTGGTTCCGGCGCAGGCTACGGTGCCGAAACATGCACAGGGTACATATGTTGACTGGGGCATACCAACCCGGGTGCCCCCAACGTTGAGGGCTTACCTTTTGATCCATAAAGCAAAGGAAAGCTGATACCTTTGCTTGAGCCGCATGTGAGTATCACAAAGAGCTTTGTGCTTCGCAAAAAGGTCGTTGCGCCAGGTGGTTTCTAGCTTTCCTCCCATCTTACTGTCTGTTGCTTTCTTGCGCCGGGGGGGGGTCGTCTGCTTCCTATTTGCCCTGCATGATCATGGCTACGACGTGTCCACAGCAGAAACACTTAAAATATAGTTGTCTGTTTGGCTTCCGCGTTTAGCAACCCCAAGCAGGCTACCCCAACAGCAGACACAACCGTACGGCAACGAACATACATCCAACCATGCACATTATTTGCGCAGGGTGCCCAATTAAAAACTAAATGAGTTTGAACCTGAGCAAATGGCTTAAGTGCAGGCTTGGCCTCTCTCAACTCTTTCTGACTGAACGGTCCCCCGACCGATTGGCTGAATCGATAGCTGCGGATGGGAAAACTGCGAGCGGGTGCTTTTGCAAGTGCCCTCAAGAGATGCAGATCAACCAGCTTCCTGTCGCCGGTCATTTCAAACCCTCCCACAGCCAGGGCATTTGTATTCTTTGACAGCCATTGGGGGGTGCGCTACCGGGCGCCCTACGACACGATTCGATGGTTTCCGCTCTCCCCACACAACTTCCCGCCGAAGGGAAATAGGGTACATGCACTTTATATAGTCGCAATAGTCGCTATAGATTCCATTCACGCCCTGAAACCATGGAATCCAAAGGGAAACTTGCCTTTGTCAAGGTCGCCCAAAGTTGGGGTTGCTCCCTCCGTCCGAACGAGGTCCTGATCAACCGTAGGTTTAATGGAAAAGCCGTCTGTTCCCAAAAGGTTCACGGGACGATCCACAGCCAATGGGCCATGAACTTTTCCCCAAAAAAACCCTCCACAAGAGAAGGCCTTCGGGCGAGCAAGGGAGGCTCGCTTTTGGGGGGAAGAGATCCTGATAGGTTCTTCCAGTTCGGTCTGAATTTCAATGAGCACCAACTTTTGAGAAGGTTCCTATTGAGGTTCATAGCCATTCCTCGAGAAAAGGCCTGGTAAAGCATCTGCTTGACTTCCGTGGGTGGACGAAATCCTGCACCACCTAAGAAATCATGGAAACATGGTTTCCCTGTAAATAAAACCAACGTACACTGGTTTCAAAAAAAAGTTTCTTAGGTGGTGCAAATTTCGCAACCATCCACAGTGTTTCAGCGTTTCTCAAAAACAAGTGGCTTCCGGATCCATCACTTAATTGACCCAAGGGCCTCTAAGATTGGGCTCAAGGAAAACCCGTGCAATTCATTCGCTTCCACCACCAGACTCGGCGGAAATGTCCTGGCGACTTCAGCGTAACCCGGGAAGTCGGAATCCAAGTCTGTACCATGAGCTTTTCACCTTCAAAGAAGTCCAAAATGTTTGTTTACCACTAACATGGTCTTCCCAAAAAGTTTGAAGTCCAGGAGCTCAGGGAGTGAGGTCTAGTCAAGGGAGGCATAAGATTCATTTTGCAATACGGTCCAACCCAGTGGTACTTCCTGTTCATTGAACCATGTGCAAGATCTGGGCACATTACTACTATTCACAATTGGCAACAAGGAATCCCCACGTAAGGTAATTTTAGCGTGGGATTTCACGCCTCTTGCTCCAGGTGGAATCGCTCGTTCTACTTTGCCCTCAAGATGTCACTGAAAGGCTCATTGTCTCCACATTTTCCTGAGCCCATGGCCATGTTGGCACCCTTCAAAGGCTGACTTCCAGACATTAGGCAACGGCCAACGGTGAATGAACCGATAAGCTACGGCTTCGCGGCTTCATACCTGGGATTCATAAATTTAACATTGAGCCTGTGACCACCACACGCTGAGCCAGAAAGACCAGGGTTTCCGGCGTCGGCCGCACTCGCATCAGCGAAGGCGATCGCCTCCGAGTTCTTGGTAGGGAATTTGGGCGACCCTTTACGACCAACTATTGGGATCTGGTAGGAAATCACGCGTGGCGTCCCTTCCCTATACTGCCTCCTGAACAAGACATATATGTGTATATCTATATCTATATCTATAATATATATGTATGTATATATGAGCATTATTTTTGGCAGCAATAACCATTTAAAGCCAACAGAGAAAATGACAAATAGTCTGAAGCAAAAGGAAGACCAAGAATCAGCAAGTACAGTCTACCCAAAACCCATGGAAGAGAATCAACAGGGCAGGAACCTTCACCTACGCTTGGGATTCGAGACTCATACAACAGATCACCGGACAACCATGAGGCCTCAAGAAAAATAAGCAACACGATGTCGAAAAGAATGTGTGGCTTGTTTGGAGTCGGCTTATTCTGTTGGGGGCGCCAAGGAGTTGTTTTTGTCTCAACAATATATGTATTACTTTGATCAGTCTTGCAATGACTAGGTGCCTCAAGATGCTCTGGGTGCAAAATAGGGGGCCAAAAAAAACAAAAACGGGAACAACACAACCCATATCCTCTTTTGGTTTGGCAATGGCTAAATGGCCCATTGCTTCCTAAATCTCCTCATTAAGCATCACCCAATCGAGTGATTCGCCCAACAGCTGATACTAAACCAACCCAAAGGCAAAATGTTGAATGCAGACTTATTAGTTCCAGAACTACCCCAGCATACCCCAGCTATACATGTAGCAGTGACCATCAGATGAACTCAACTCCTTGTATGAGAACTCTACTGTGGATGGACAAATCCTGAACCAGTTGGTAGGTGGCTTCTCCCAGTATTTACAGGGTTTCATCCATCCAAACTGGTGCGAAGCGGACTTTGTCCATCACCGGGGGTTGAATCGCCCGGTTTTCATCCCGCCTCTTTGCCGGCCAGCAATGCCAGGCGCAGGTGTTGCGGGTGCCGGTCCGCCTTAGTAAGTCTCCCGTTCCGATCCCAGACCAGGGGTGGATTTCCACAGGGAAAACGAAATGGCGTCCCTTTTTGGATGCTTAATTTGAAGGGGGACCAGCATTTGCGCCTGTTTTTTGGGGATCTTGTCGGATGTGAAGGGGAAAGACTCAGTAAACAAAAAGGGTAACAAAAAGGGCACCACTGGGTGTCTGGGAAATTTGGGCATACCCATTGTTCGTAACCCACGGACTGGAATTCGAAGGAGTGGAACCAGGTGTCTTCCGCTTCGTGGAGGCTAAAACAAAGTATCAACCTTGAAGATGGCTTATGGTTCAACAGGGGTCATTTGGTACCTCCTTGGGCAAGACTCGGTAGTCTGCCTCTAAGCCTAGGGTAAAGACTTCGAAGGACAGCAGTTCTGGTCGGCAGTGGTTCATTTCACGTCAGAAACCCGGAAGTACACAACGAGAGTCTCACGGCTTACTGCAGCGTCCGCAGGCCCTGCCCCCCATCACGTGGAGGAGCGCCCTCCGACAACAATGAGTTGCATCCTACAGCTTCGCCAAGGTTGCTTGCGCAATGAAGTGTCGGTCTAGCTGAAAGGTTCGCCTTTGAAGATGGCTTATGGTTCAACAGGGGTCATTTGGTACCTCCTTGGGCAAGACTCGGTAGTCTGCCTCTAAGCCTAGGGTAAAGACTTCGAAGGACAGCAGTTCTGGTCGGCAGTGGTTCATTTCACGTCAGAAACCCGGAAGTACACAACGAGAGTCTCACGGCTTACTGCAGCGTCCGCAGGCCCTGCCCCCCATCACGTGGAGGAGCGCCCTCCGACAACAATGAGTTGCATCCTACAGCTTCGACAAGGTTGCTTGCGCAATGAAGTGTCGGTCTAGCTGAAAGGTTCGCCTTTAGTTTCCAGTCTCAGGAGAGCAAGCCCTTCGCAATTTTTAGGACACACGCCCGCCCACCATACCCCCCCCCCCCCCCCGCGACACAGCCAATCCCTGGACTTCAAAAGGCCTTTTCAGAAACGGCCGTTTGTCGAAGAGCCATGTGTGGCAAGAATACATGTTTTCACTGGTTCCGAAGAGCCATTTCTGGATTCCCATGTTGGCCAATAAGCAAGACCACATTTCTGGACTACCATGTTGGCCAATAAGAAAGACTCCCCCCCCACACAAAACTGGCAATCATATAGGCCCCAAGCTCACAGCCAAGTCAGAATTTGACTCCCTGAACTTCCAATTCCTTTGGAGAACTGGCTTGTTTGTCGATGGACCTACAAAAAAAACGCGTTTTCAGTAGCTTTGGACAACCGTTTGTGGAGCTCGATGTTAGCCAATAAGCTACCGCTGCCGTAGTCCAGCCATCACGCAAGCCCGTGTTCAAGCTAGGCTCGTTTTGAATCATCTTTTGTCTTTGAAAAGGTCGCGCAGTTGAGCTCTGTAGGCTTCAGCTCTGCCACTTTAACTTGCATGCCTTTGAGGCTGAGGTGGCAGTCGGCGGGATGTCCACGGTTTGTCCACTCCCCTAAATGGATGTTCCACTCCCAGAAATGGTTTTTCCACGCCCACAAATGGCTCTTCCACGCTTTGTCCACGCTTTGTCCACGCTCCAGCTTCTCCGAGACTGCTGTAAGACGCCCATTGCGCCAACACGCACACGTAAGAGCGAGCGTTAAGGTGGCTTTTCAAGCACATCATGATGCCGACCAAGCTCACATAACACACAAGGCTCCTGGCTGCCGGGCCATGACAACAGCCATTTCGGAAAATGCCGCTCGACGAAATTGTAAACAGACGTTTGTAAGGACGGACCCTAAAATGGTCTAGCATTTCCTTAGAATGGTCGAGGGTACCTAGGCCTTTTCAGACATGGGCGAGGACGCCCAGGGTTTGTAAAACTGTAGTTTGCCTTGCTGAAAAGCTATCAGTGCTAGTGGCCAAGACCTTCAAAAGGCAACCCCAACCCACTGAAGCACACTGAATCGCAAAGCAATGCCATATCTAGGAGCCATTTCAGAATTGGCCGTTAGATGTTCCTTAATAGGCCGTTGGTGAAGACCCACAAATGGCCGAGCATTTTCTTAAAATGGCCGAGGGGTACTAGGCCATTTCAGAAATGGCCTCCGACGTCCAGGGCAATTGTTCAATCTTGCTCGTCGCCAAAAACCTTCTCTAAATCGATAACTTACACCTACTGGTCTCGCCCTTCAGGGCTGCGACCCCACCAGAGGTCCACAAAAAACTGCGAGACAGGAACCCACCAAGGTAGCATGAAACTAGACATACAGATCCTTGTTCTTTTCCCAGGTTTCCGTTACAACTAACTTGGCGCATGGAACGCCCAAGTGCGAAGCCCCAAGGACATGGGCGGGCGCTTGGGACTGAGGCTGCCGCGGCCTTGCTGCGCAGGGCGTCATAGGCGGCCTCAGAATGCGACGGGTTCAGGCGCTAGACCTCCAAGAGAACACGCGAAAAATCAGACACCAACTGGCCCGAAATGGGCTCACACTTGACCATTGGCCCGGAAAGAAGCTCGAAATCCACCAGATCTCTGACAGGCTTCCCGTCTATATGTTTCCTGGTGGATTGAAAAATCACCTCCGCTAAGCGAGTGTCCCGTTCGTGCGACGTTTAAATGGGAAATTCATTTTCGTAGGTCGTGGAGACTCCGGGTAGGTTCCCTGAATCTAGGAGGAGACCCCCTACTATAAAGCGGAAGGGGGTTGGAGATCCCCAATTCCATTTATCTAGTCTCCACAAAAAACGGAGATCTCCAGGGGTCGAAATCCCCCCCTCCCCCAATTCCAATATATCAGGGGGTGGGGATCCCCGAACATGCGGTTGACACCCTGCGGACGCACGGCAAAACCCAACGCCTGGAGCTTCTTCGAGGGCACCGAGGACAGCACCTGGCGGTGACTCGAATGGAGCTGTTTGCATCGGTTTTCTACTCGGCACCCCCTCAAATGCTCGCTTTCCTTGTCGGAAACCCAATAAACCTTGCTGCTGCTCAGTAGGGAATGAGGGAATGAACCCAGGCTTTGGTCCCCTTGAAGGAAACCACGAGAAAAGGTTTATAGGGGTCATTCCCGCATTCCCTGCTGAGCACCAGCAAGAAACAGTTTTCTGCAAGGATTGGAATTTCTCGAAGGATTCTCCAAGGATTTCTTCTGCGACTCCCTTTCTGATTTCCTCGGACAGTAGGACTCACCACCCACCAAATGTTGGAACCTTACACAAGTGGCATATAACCTCCCTTGCATGTTGACCCTCACTGATTCAAACCTGTGGATTAGGGACATATTTAGCAAAAGTGAAGGATCCCGTCTCAAATGGACATCCGCTATTAATCAACCAAGGATATGTTAATACTTGGTACCCACTGCAAGGCCCTAAACTTTAGGGGAGAAAACACATCACAAAGACATGATCATAGGGAAGGAGTTCCGTTCAGATCATTGTCGAGCAATGCCCTCTTGGCTCAGCAAATAAGAAAGCGGGGCACAAGTACACAACCAAAATATGATAAACAAGTCTTTAAGTCTTGAAGAAGGCCCAAGAAGCACCTATGGGTGATGTGATAATGCCAACCATCCCTGCGCAGGCTTCTCCCACTCACACCACTTGAAGGGAAGATGCCACAAGAAACCAGTGGGAGAGCCTCAGGGGAAGCGCCTCTGCAAATACAACACAAACACCCATGCTCATGCTGGGAAGGCACCTATATACCCGCACTCATGGAGCCGGCACCTTCAGTTAGGAGCACGCGGCATCCCGGATGCCAGCGAGAAACACGTGGACTCTTGGAAAAATTTTGGGAACATAAAGACATACCCAGAAGACCCGTCTCCTTTCTCTTGGGGGTAGCCAGGTGCATCTGTCCAGGCCCAAGAGGGGTTGTTCTGTGTAAAGATTTCCCTCAATGCTCCACTCAAAGCCCGCTTCAGGTCTGTCAAGAAGCCCCCTAACACAAACACATGGGCCGGTTCGCGCTGGCCGCCTCACCAACTATTTCTCCTACCACGCGCGTGGTCACGATTTCAGGTAGGACACTATCCGGGGCAATCCTTTCATATCCAAAAAACAAGTAACACTTACGGCCCGGCAAATCAAACATGGAACCGCAAAACGGGTCCCATAGACCTGCTGCGAAAAAGATAACATAACTTGCTGGTTGAAAGAGAGGCACAACAATAGGCACAAAGGCAAGCAGTAGGCTTCGGCCAACGCTTTGGCAAGGCTTGTTGTTGGGTACAATGTTAAACTCACTTCATGAGTGGACCGGCCAACAATCTGAACCTTTTGCTTATACCACAGCTGCCTTTCAAGATGTGACTAAAGTCACTTTAAATGGGGAACTGAGGCTACTTAGCCGAATTCCTACCACTTGTTCTATGTGCACGGCCTACTTCCAGACCGCGACGGTGTCAGGCCACCACCGGACGCCCCCGCAAGCGCTAAACCTTGTGGATAGGAGTGGCCTGCCATCCCTCTAACACGAGTAAAAGGGGCACACCCCAAGAAAACAACAATGTGAATCTTCCAAGAGCCCAGCTAAGGTGATCGTTCCCTTTTTCCTTTTCAATTTCAACCCATAAAACTCAAACCCCCAGAAAACTCATGGGAGAAACCTTTGGCATTCTGGAGTTGGGTAGTGGATGTAAGAAAAAGGCTTTCTCTCTATCCACCAACTAGAACTATCTAATCTGTTTGGATTCTGGCCCAAAATTCGTGAACCTCCATCAACGTACCTCCAAGAAAAAAACGAGAAAAAAAACACGGCAGCACTGGAGGTCTGTGAAAACTGGGGTGCCCTCAGGTCCCCCGCTAAAAGTGACTAACTTTTAGTGGTTTAAATTCGGAAACTACCACTAAACACGAAAAGGCTAAAGAGCTGAGGAACCGGATGGCTGGGAGCCAACAAGAAAAGGCTTCGCTTCGCAATTCCCTCGCCTCCAACATGGTCAGCGCCGTTTCGGGGTCCGCGGAGGTGGCATTTGCCTCGGCCTCGGGGTGCCCGGAGTATGGCACCTTTCGGAAGCAGATGCCCAGTGTGTGTGTGTGTGAGGAATGGGAATGGGTGTTCATCCTTAAAGGAGCATGCGTAGCACATATATATATATATACATATATATATATATATACATACATATATATATATATATATATACATACATATATATATATATATATGTAGTTGCTTATTTGTGCATTTATTTGTTTATCTCTGTATATACACACAGAGCAACAGGCCTTGCGAAGGCCATCGCCAGCTTAAAGAGCTGCTCCTAAAACCACTCCGCTGGTGGAGGCACCCGGCGGCTTTACCCTCCAACTCGGTATCTTTGGGCGGTTTTTTTGGGGGGTGGACTTCCTTGAGCTTGGCTCAGAACCCTCACCCTGCAACAAGGTGCTTGGATTCACCGCTCCGAGCACATTTCGCAAGGATCCCAATGAACATCATGGAATAAAGGGAAATCAGTTCAGATATCAAGTCACATCGACAGATTCCATTACACCTTCGCCACACATCTATTTGGCCATGCGCTTCAGGGGCGTTGGACTTCACCTTGCATGGCCGTGTCTCTTTAAATGTAGAAGCAAACAAAAACACGACTCATCTTGACAAATACCAAAACAACTATGAGCCTCTGATTTGAACCTCCCGAATTTGCACGGAACATGGGTGAGGCTTTATTTCATAGTTGAATTAGTTGATACATTTTCCGCGGAGCCAAATGTCTTCTGGGCAAATAGTAATTCACCAACCCAACAGAACTGATCCCTAGGCAAGAAACTTCATGGGCCGTCGTTATGATTTGCGCAGCTAACATATTCTCTCTCAGAGACGCCTGCTTGAATGCCTCCCTTCGCTCCCTTGGATGTTTTTGAGGGGCTAGGTTGTGTACCCTGGTGAACATCAAAACGGGTGCACATGGGTGTTCATCCGCCCCAAAATGGAACTATAGGTTATGACCCATGGCCATTTGGCACCTCGGGCTTGGGGCTGCGGCCAGCTTCTGCAGCGGCCCGAGCTCTGAAGCCTCAAGCTGCGACTGCATCACCTGGAGGCGTTGGCCCCTGAGAAAGGTCCCAGGAGGTCCACCCTCTGAGAAAAGGAGGCGTTGGCCCTGGAAATCCGCGAAAGGGAGGTGCTCACCTTGGAAAACCTGAGAGGCGTGCCCGGGGCGGTTCCAACAACCAAGTAAGCTTAGAACGTTGACAAAATGTAATGTAATGCAATGTATCGCAAAGTAAAGCAATGTAATGTAATGTAATGTAATGTGTGTATGTATGTATGTATGTAAAAGTGTAGAAATATGTGCATATATAACAATACAATTACATTTCTACACATTTTCCAGGTTCCGGGTGCCCAGGTTGCCTGGCCTTTGGGTTGGTGAAGGGTTGCTGAAGCGTTGGAGGGTCGATTCAGGGTGGGGGTTGTGTAGTTTTAGGGGTTGCTTCCCTCTTCTGTTCGTTTCTCCCAGGTTTTGGCTGGTTTAAGGATCCCTAATGGCTGGTTGAAGGATCCCTAAAACGAATTGGGGAGTGAATTGTAGGGGCTGAGGCATGGCTAAGCTGCTGACCTGGATTGCTCCGAGCCGAACAAACAAAGGTCTCTCACGGGTGTGTCGCTTTCAAGGAGTCGAACCCCAAAATGGAAACCCACACGACTAAACACCCACAACATCTTCCGACGATCCCAGGGGTCGTTGATCCCACACCGGCGTCACGTGACCCGACCCCCTACGCGCGCCTGCGCACATCGCGCCAGCACGCGGCCGACGCCGCAGGCCGCTACGGACTTGGCAAGCTGCGGCCTCGGATCGTGTTGCTTTTGTTTCAACGTGGCCATGATTCTAGGGGCAACTTCCACTTCCATTCTTTCCAGGGATCCTTCTTTCTAGAAAACCACCACAAAACCCTGGGGGAATGGCTGGTTTTTGAAAAGAACGATGGCTGAAAAGAATGGGGAATCAGCCCATAGAATGATATACACGTGGCTCGTCTTTTTGGATGTTGGGTTTCGTGTTAAACCAAGCCCGAAAAGGAGAACTGAAAGAAGACACACCCGAAGGATCGGTTGTTTTGGATGTTTCCATTTCAACCAAGCCCGAAAAGGGGACACAGCCATAAAAAGGATCGGTGCGTTTCTTGCTGGTGCGATAGGCGGGGAATGAGAAACGGAATGACTCCGAAATAAACCATCCAACTGGTGGTGTCCTTCAAGGGGACCAAAGCCTGGGTTCATTCCATTTCTCATTCCCAGCTGAGCGCCCGCAAGTCTCTTTCATCTTTTTCACTGGCCGCAGTATGAAAAACCATGATATTAAAAGTCAGCCCCCTTCAGTGGTATGTTAAAGCCATGATTTGTTAAGTCGGGTGATTCAACTGGACAAAATGCAAGTGTTTTCTTTCAGTTGGGGGGTGGCATTTCGAAGATTTTGGCTTCTAGAGCTATTTTTCCACCGTGGCTCGCCAAATGTTTTCGGGGACCCCCGAAATGGGTGTTCCCTGTTGAAGCTCCCGTTCTTCCAGCCCCAAAGAAGGCCGCGAGCGGCTGCGATTTTCTATACCCAAGCAGCGCATGCTAAGGGCTAAGGGGGGGCATTTCACTTTCTCACTTTGGCCCAAAAGGCCAAAAGCTCTAAAGGGTGGGTCTTTTTTAGCGGACCCCCCAACAAATTGATGGTTTTCCTGTTGGTTTCCGTTCAAACCAAGTCTGGAAAGGGGTACCCTCACAAGACACACCCATATGGAGTCACCCCCGTTCAGTGGAAAGGCGAAAAGCTAAACAGGTCTCTTCTGTCTGGCAACGTGCTTGTTGCGAACTTATTTGGGGACACCAAAATCCATCAACCCTTAGCTCGGTTGCTTTCTGCTCCCCTGCTAAAAGCTTAACTTTTCGTGGTGTAATGGAAAACCCCTTAGTTGCCAAAAAGCTGAAGTCCTAACATCCAAGCAAAATGCACCAAAATTAGGGTTGGTCAGCTTGTCCTGCCCAACGCAGATCGGTGGGCGCTTGGACTCATCGAAACTCGATCGGACTGGGGCTGCGGCCAGGCAGTGCCTGCCTCCAACTCCTGCATTTGGGGCCGTGTGAAACACAGACCCGCAGTGGCCATGAAACAAAAAGGGCACGCCCCTGTTGCTAGGCTGTTTCTGTCGGAAACCCCCCCGTGCCTTTGTTTTCCTTTGGAGGTCAAACTAAAGGACAAAAGGCCCTTTTTGCGGGTTCCCCCCATTACATATAAACGAACACCTATGAATACCTGGATGATCCTAGATGGGTGAATCAACCAGTACCCTGCAAATTTCAGGAGAAAAGGACGCCACCGTAATTCCAGCTCAAGCCTTCCACCGCCCACCCCCCCCGCCGCCTGCGTCCACCAAACTTCCCAAATGGCCGCTGCAGCTTCCGGCGGCACCTCGAGGCATTGAAGGGCCGGGGCTTTGGATAGCTTTCGCGCTCCCCCAGTTGCCAGTGGCAAGTTTTGGGCATGGCACCCATCGTCATCTGCGTTTCTCGACCTTTGCTACATGCTATTTCATCCATTGGGCATTATATATGTCTGGGCCATCTCAACTCCATCCAAACTTCGTCCAATTCGCATCCAATCTCCCCACAGGTCAATAGCATCCGCATCAAATCCTTCAGAACACCTGGTTTCGGAACCTGCGTAAGCCAGGGCCCACAACTGCGACACGAGAGTGTAGTCGTAGTGTTCATTCTCTGCATTGCTGAGGGGCTTGAACAGCTGAGCAAGGTAGCGGTTGTACTCAAGGAATCTGTCCCTTCGGAATCGCTACCAGCTGGCCATATCCATAGCTCCGATGGACCTGGTCCATGCGTCATGGAACTGCCGATCCATGCTCCTGCCTCTCCCCAAAGTCGCTGAGGCAGTCTCCGGTGAGAGCGAAGCAACATTCCGATCAAATTCTGAGAAAGCTTCCGTGAAAAGCTTGTTGCCAAACGTATTCCCTCTCGTTTCTCTAGGGCCTTTGTTGACCTCAGTCTTACGCATGCACGACTCACATCTTGAAGGTCCAAAAATCGATCCCTTGCCAAAATTCGATATTTAGCGGGATAGCGTTGTAAACTCCAAACAAATCAAAGGGTATGGCTGGAAACCGCCAAGACATGCAACCGGGCACCAGAAAACCCTACGAATGCAGAGTACATCCTGGTCAACTCAGTCTCAACTGCAGCAATCGCATTCCTATTTGGCTTTCTGGATGCTCCCTGAGGCTCTCAGGGAACCCCCAAGAAGAATAGGTTCCTTCACGATTCGCTGGGTGCCAAATGTGTCTGAACAAAAAATACACACACACAACATCCCGTCGTGGTGTCCTTTGAGGGAAACTATGGCAACCTGGAGTCTCCATGACCCTTGAGAAATGGGGTCATCCACCCAACAAGGTCATGACCCATGTTGAAAGGGTCATGGAGACTCCAGGAAAAACGACAACATGTGTTGCTCCCCTTTCGCTTCCTTAAGCAACGCTCCAATAAGAGGGCGCTGATCCACCCGCTACCTCCCGCGTTTCTGCGCCTGATCGTCAGCGGCGCCATCCTCAAGCAGGTTTTCTGGATCGCTTCGGAAGCACCCTTTTACTTCACCTTTTTGGTGTATGCTGTCAACACCTGACGAAAAAGGAGGTATCTACCAGGGTTTGTCAATACTTTGCAGCCAGGGGGGGGGGTTGAGGTGGGTGCGACTTTTGTCCGATCAGCCTTGCCAGCGTTATGCTCGATGGATCCATCGTGTGGCTGATATGGGTGTGTCTCAAAATTGGGGACCCCAAGGACGTTGTCTGGTTGGATTCCTTTCAAGCAGCCCAAACCCTCAACACGAAAGACAAACACGATATAGAGTGACAATGCTACCTTGGGTAGACCTTTTAAAACTAGATGTCCTCCATTTGCAGAAGCTATGCCCCCTTCAAAACCAACAGGGAAAACACACAGATTCTTGAGCAAATGGCTTTGTCTCAAAAGAGGGGTACCATAACATGTACCAACCCCCACGGGTACCCACACAAAAAAGACATACCCATATGGAAGACGACGGCCCTCCTGAACGAAATCACGAGGCTCCACGCCACCCCCGGCCGCTTGCTGGCAGCAGCCTCCCGCAGCATGTCCGCCCACTCCTCGCGATGGAGTGGACCCCCAAACCGCACCGCTACCTCCCTCAAACTGCCCACAAAATGGGACATTGCCCCAAACACATGGTTCCGTTTGCAACTTGGCTCAGCACATGGGTGGTTTGCAATGGTGGTCTGCAATGGTGGTCTGCAATGGTGTTTGCAAGAATACCTCGCTAAAAAGCGAGCAATGTACGATTGTTGCGCGTAGTTTGATCTCATGAGATTCTGGGAGCCCAACAGAAGAGATGACAGGTTGCTGGGTGGGCTTGTGACATCTGAGGCAAGCATGCTTCACGGTGCATGGACAATTTGTGTGCGCCCGAGGTGCTTGGCTCCAGAAGGTTCCCGATTTTAAGACTGATCCACTTGAACCATGCCAGGCAGGGCTCGTGGCTCGACATGAAGTAAGTTGGAAGTCAGGGGTTCCTCACCTCTTCGCCTTCACCCCCCATGGGATTTCTTTGTAAACCCACCTGCGTTTTGTTTTCTTTTTCCCCCTGAAATGGAAATGCCGGACCCACTTTGTCTCCTCAGATTGGACTTCCCCAAAAGGTAGAAGGGAGAAGACGCCTTTCGCCAAAGTCAAGGGGGTGACACCAGTTCAAGCACCCCCCATTTGGGTTTTCCATCCCCCCTACCATAAGGGGGAGGGGGGGTGGGGGTTTCCAATTCCATTTCTCCAGTCTTGCAACCATAAAAGGGAAATGGGGTTCCATGCATGGAGATCTCCAGGGGTCGAAATCCCCTCCCCCAATGGCTCTCCCGTTTTGGGGTTGACGATGTTTAGTGGGGAAAACACGAATAAAAAAGAAATGCTCTTCCTTGAGCAAAATGCATAAGCTTTTGCAGGCTCAATTGACAATCCATTTGGGTTTGTCTTTCCGGAGGGACCCAAAAAAAATTAATGGTGTTGAATTTGGCTTAGTTTTTAAACCTACTCAAAGCGGGCATCCTGAAAAGCATGGCGTGCCCACTTCATGTTTCCGACGAAAATCGGTCGGGGCGATTTGCTGGCGCCTGAAAGCCGTCGGTGTGGGACCACTTGCTCGCCCCTCTCTTCAGCTCCGCGCTGGCGCGCAGGAACGTCGCCTGGCGAAAACGAGAACACCCCGTGCACGGGGCAAGACGGGGAACCAAACGGTTTGCTAGGGAAGCCCTCAGGGCACCAGTCGTTTTCTGGGCAAACCAAACCCCTGACTTGTGTTGTTTTTCAAAAACAAAGGGGGTGATCCCTATTTCGGAGGATTCAATGGGTCTTTCCTTGTCCAATGAAACATGAGATGAGCCCCTGAGGACATGGCACAATCAGTATCTACAGGGGGGAAACTTAGAGCTCGTCCCCCGTGCCCCTGCCATCTGGACCATGAACTACGGGAGTTTTTGCCTAAACCTTAAGATGACGGAGAGTTTGTGCGTGTGCGTGTGTGTGTGTGTGTGTGTGTGTGTGTGTGTGTGTGTGTGTGTGTGTGTGTGTGTGTGTGTGTGTGTGTGTGTGCGTGTGTGTGAAGCGTCCTGGAGCACGGACGGAAATTCCACATTGCAGGGGGACTGGAGCCGATTTGCCTATCCAGTCCAATGAAGCTACGGCATTTCGGTGGATACCGGATCTGATCAATCCGGCGTACCTGCCTATTTCCTGACCCTCTTTCCTGATTCTTTTTGCGGTTTCTGTTTGTCGCTGTTGCTTCCTGTTCGGTGTCGATGTTGTGACCTGTTGATTTGCATTTGCATTCAAGCATTTTTACTGACTGCGTTTTGCATCTCGGCTAGTGAAGCCTCTCGAGATAAGTGTGTTTACCCACGGCCTGTCCGACATGGCGCTGTGGGCTGGACTCGCCATATGCGGGAGCCCCCTGCGAGGGGAAGACCGTTCAAGTGTTCAAGTTCAAGCTGCAGTTCAGTTCAGCGCGTTTGACCACGATCAAGGCTGCAGCTTGAGGTCTTAAGGTATTCCGCACCCTACTGGTGCTCTGCTGGTTTCATGCGCCTGCACTGCCTGCACTGCCTGCCTTTGAAGCAAGGCTGCACCCACGAGGTTTCAGGCTCCTAAGCTTCATGCGCCAGTGACGAGTTGGTCATACACCAACTCTGCAATTCGTAGCGTTCATGGAAGCTTTCGTCTCGGATGAGTTCAGTTCAGATTCATCGGCATAGCCACATGAGCCACATGAGGCACTTTCATGAGGCCACTTGACAGGCACCTCTGAGAACCCCTGTGTGCTCGCATGCATTTCTGTGAAAACTTTTGCCGTTGCCGCGGGGTTTTGGCGGTCCCCTGGTGGAATTCCCTCTGTTTGGTTTCGATTCGCAGGTTGAAGTTGGCTCGCATGCATTTGCACCTTTGACGCTTTTCTGCTGCAGGTGTGGTTTTGTTTTCACCCCTTTCCAACCTTCTCTCTCCCTTGCGAGATGGCTGGACACCAGCTCTATGACATGATGCATTCGCTCCTGCACAGCATTGCGACCGGCACCGCGTCCGGCTCACCAGGCAATTGTGGACCGAACTTGCAGCTGTCATCCCAGATGACGCAGCCCATGAACCTTGTACCGTCGCCCAACTCGCAGACGGCATCCTTCACACCTTTCCCCATGATGCCCTACGGCGGCCTCTCGAATTTTGGCAACCCGATGGCCATGATGCCCTACGGTGGCCCTCCCAATTACGGCAACTTGGCACCTGGCACCATCATGCCTTTCATGACTCAGAGCAGCATGCCATCTTCACTGCCCGAGCCTCAGCCGGCGCGCGCGCCCGAAGCTGCCGCTGCGGCTCCTGCCGCTACCTCCTCAACCAACCACCCTCCCCCGGACACTCGGCACCATCCCCACTCTCGCAGATCCCGTTCCCGCCACAGGCAGCACCGACACTCCCACTCCCACACCAGCCACCATCGCAGGCACAACAAGTCGCACCGACGACACGACACCCGACGATCCCGCAGCTACAGCAGGTCACGTTCCCTTTCCCGACACTCCCACCACTCCCGACGTGCACACCACTCCACTGTCTCCCTCCGCTCCCGCTCCCCCCGACACAGGTCCCACCATCGACACTCCCCTGCACCCAGTGCCACGACTTCGCACCGACCCACTCACACTACTCATGATTCCACCTCCTGGCGCACTTCCGGGAAGGACTCCTGGCGCACTTCCGGGAAGGATCCCAACAAGTCTCAATGGTCCTCCTCACACTGGCGGAACCAATCGTGGGGATACCCACCACAGAACAAAAACCGCTGGGACATGCACCACCACGGCGCCAGCCACACCGGCCACCGAAACAACCAGGACAAACGATCGTCCTGGTCACTGCAGCACCATGGGCAGCAACCCCACCCCACTTCCCGCACCGGCCACCACAACACCAGCTTGCCCCCTCGCCCAGCACCTGCGGCGGCCTTCACTTCCACTCCCCCTCCCCCTCCCCCTCCCCGACCCACGCCGGCTACTCCTCACCCTCCCCAACCCCCCTCCGACAACACCGGTGATTTGGATCCCCCTCCATCGGAGGCGGACATCAACGCCACCACCACTTCCGACAACCGGTGGCTTGATCTATGGAGAAACGTCATGGACACGGCCAAGACTGACCCGCTGCGAGTTCCCACGCCTAGGGAGTTGGGGGAGCTGGACCCGCTTCCAGCCTTGGACATCTCCAGGGTGGAACAGACTAAGGCCATTTTGATGGACCTGGACCCTGCTTTGCCACCTTCACATGCCGATCTCCTCGCGGAATGCTGGGAACTGCGAACCATGGACACGGATGATCCCATACCGTTCGATCCCAGCTTCTACCACCTCTTGGGACGGGAATCACACGGCATGGTGTTCGCAACCACTTGGTTTCCCCGACCTCATCCTTGGCCAGTTGCTGGCGGAGACCCGGAAGCTGGATCCGGCACGGCCTCCCATCACGCTGTCATGTATGTGCACGGCACCACCCCGGATCGAGTGCGCCGCATGTGCCATGAGAACATGATCCGACCCGCTGCTTGGAGGCCCGAGAACCATGACTACCCGAGCTTTGGATGCTACGCTCAGGCCACCCCCACGGCATGCACGCCCGACACGCTCGGCCAGCTCTTGCAGAACTTTACAATCGGAAAGTCTCAACTCGGCGCCATCGCTTTTGGGGAACTACGCTCCATCAATCAGCACAAAATCCTCGAATCCGGGGGAAGCCACGAGGATCAACACAACGTGCGGCGCCACTTCGCATGCCGCCGAGGCAAAAAGTGGTGCCTTCACTCCAAGTTTGCGATGCTGAGAGGCATCGCGCTGCAGCGCCCGGCTTAGCGGGGCGCAAGTGTACCATCTTCCACCCAACCAGGAAAAGAATTGGTGCACTGTTTGATCGCCTTTTTTCTTTGCTTTGCTGTTCTGCCTTTCTGCGACCGTTTTCTCGCCTTGTGACCTTACCCGCTTGATTCCGCTCACCAGCTTTTTGGTTCGAACTTTTCCTTTTCCCCCGTGTTTTTCGCATGGCTTTCCAACCCCCTCGAGGTTTGGTTCCGATGCTCCAAAGGCAAAACTTACCACCGCAGCCTTCGCCCACGGCATCCCATCATCACGGCATCATGTACGGCAACAACATGGCCGGAAACCCGTGCGGGGCCCTGTCCGGACCTTCCTACGGATGCTCTTCCACGACATGGACACCGCCAACTACACATCCGACTCCCTGTCAGACCTACGGCCAACCTAGTCCCCATTTCCCACCACACCCCGGCCCTCGTCCTCCCTCCTTTGGCGGCTCTCTCCCCCCCCCTCCCGGCGGCACCCCCTTTCCCCCCCCTCCCCCCGGCAACTTCACCCGCCCTCCACCTTCCCCCTCCCCCTCCACCGCCTCGCAAACCAAACCTCCCCCGGCACTTCGACCCGTCCACTCAGTCCCAACACCAGCCGAGTTCAACCCTGGCGACGATCACTACGACACCACCCGCGTCGCGGGGTACGACCTGCCCAAGGTCATAACGCACACCGCGTTTACTCGGCAAATGGGCATCGAGGGACAAGACATCGCTCGCGTCCCCCTCCTCCACCTCATGCACGAACAGTGGAACAGTTGGTGGTTGCGTCACCTCGCCCACGGAGGCGAAGTCCGCATCGTTGTCGCAAAGTCGATGCCGGAATCAGTGTTTGCTGCTGGACTACTCAGCCAAATCCGACAACGGCACCTCGACCTGGACGCCCTCGCCCTCCATGTAGCCACGCAGGAGGGCGCCTCGACCACCAAACCAGCAGCCATGAAGCTACTCACCAACAAGATCTTCGACTTCCTCATCTCCCTCCGACCCACCACTACGGCCGATCCGGCCTCCGCGGCCACCATACTCCAGCTTCAGCAACAGCTTGCTGACGCACACAACCAACTCGCCCAGCAGGCTTCATCCCCCCCTCTCCCCCCCACACCCACCTCATCCAACAAACGCCCAGCCGATCCATCTCAGGCCTCCCTCCTGGACTTCGGCATGAAGCGACCACGGTTGACTACACCTGACGCATCACCGCAGGACGGATCCCCCGCCCTACCCCTGCCCACTCGCATTGCAGACGACTCCCAACCCCCCCCGGCTCCCCCCACCCTCGGCGGCAACCCTCATGACCCCTCCACCCACGGCGGCACCCCGACCCCTCCCCATCCCCCCTCCCCACCCACTTGGAAGGAGCCCCGCGACTTGCTCCAACCACCTCCCCACGCTTGCCAATGGCTCACCAACAACTTCCCACCCGACCTTTCCGACACCAAAGTCCAGCGATGGATCACCTCCCAGAGAACCAGCAAAGAGAGCAAGCAAGTCCTAAAAAGCTGGTCCAACGACTGCGCAAAATGGGCAACCACACTGGACTCCGACACCAGAGCCCAACTCGAACGAGCCGCTGTGCTATGGGGCATCCCGGTGCGAACCCTATCAAAACTGGGGTCATCGGCCTTGGGCCGCATCCTGGCCGCTGCGAGTCACTTCTACCAGTGACTCTCAACAGCACACCGACAACGACGCACAGCCAGGCAGCACAAATTTTGGCAACACCACTGCTGCCAATTTCTCACTGTCCTCCGTTTCACTCTTCGGTTCTTCCCAACCGATGACGTCACCGCACGTCATTTTTGCTCCTGGCTACTCGCACAGCTTCAGCTACTTGACGTCTGCCATTTCTCCTGTGGTTCCGGCAGACTGAAAGCCCTGCTCACTCGACTTGGCCTGGACAACCCTGCTTCCGATTTCTCTTCTCAGCTTGTCCCTTCAGCGGTTTATCTGAGATTCACCAGCCATCCAAAGTGGCAGACCTTTTTCTACCTCGGAGCCACTCGCACCTCCCTCATGGCACGGGACCACAGCCGACTTCGCAAACTACTCCAAGTTCAGCGACATCATCTGGTCAATGCCGAACTAGCAGTCCGGTGGTGGGCACATTTTGACATTTTCCACCACTACACCTCGGTGCCCATTCACACTGCCGTTCCAGCAACGGACCTATTTGCCACTGAACAGTTCTACATCCAGGAACTGCAACCGTCTCTCAATTTTGGCTTCATCGAGAAACATTTCCGGCCACGCACGGGCTTCACACGCCAATTGGACTTCTCCCAATCCCGGCACATGGGCTTCGCCACCATCTGGCGAAAACGCCGCCGACTACGACTACCCATCGCCCTACAACAGGCCTTCCTGGCCAAGCGCATGAACAACCGCCTAGATTTGTGGCGATTTTTGGGCGATCTTGGCAGCAACACTCTACGACGATTTGATGCCATCCGTTACATACGGAGCAGAGACTTCCCACCCGCCGCTCTCTATGTCCTTCATCGCATAGCCACGCACCTGCCTGAACCACACCACCAGGCATGCCTTTCCGCCATTCGATCCAGTTTACGATTCCGGGGCCTCATTCCACCTGGCCCCTCCAGACCGATGCTTGCACCATTCCTCGCCCATCCTTCTTTCCGATCCCTGCTTTTAACCCAACTTCGCGGGTTTATTCGATCTACCACTCGCAGCGCTTTACCGTTTCACATGGCACAACCACGCATTGTCTTCAAGGCACATCGGAGACTCTCCAGTGCCTTGTTCTCACATCTCCAGGCAGCAAAAACCTGGAGTCTCGGTGAAACAACCTGCACATGCACCGACCTCGCCCAACAACACCCATCCCTCCCGAAGCATGACGGACACCTTCTTTTCTCCGGTGCAGACACCCATGAGCTGTTCGACTCCGACACTGCCCACATGCTATCCGGATCGATGCGCAACTCCTTCTTTCCTCCACGAGGGGTCTTGATGAGTCGCCTGACCCAGGCATTTCAACACTGGGCCAGGACCAACAACCTACCCGCGCTCGACCCATCAACCCTCACTACTATTGTCGAATTCCATTTCGACCTCCACCTTTCACACACATCACAGTACTTTCTTCACGCCCACGTCCAACGGGCTCTGCATACCCTGGAACCCCTTGTCCGCCATTGCGAAGACCATGCGGACTCCCGACTCATGATCTATTGTCCCGTTCTCTACGGCAAGATGTTGGAAGCCACTTTTGCGGACCCTGCCATCTTCGCCCCTCTGCCGGTCCCTGCCATTGAGATCCACCAACGACTACGAGAAACCATTGTCACCAGATTCCGCGGCCGCTATCCTTGGGCCGTGACCGGATTCGGAAGGCCAGCCAACGCCTACATCCTCCCGAAGAGGAAGAAGAACTGGACCACTGCCCGACCCATCATCAGTTTCATTGGCGCCTTCTTCCGACCCATGCTCGACGCTCTCGCCAAGCTCCTCCACAGCATGGTGGCCACGGCTTGCCCTGACGCGTTTTCAGGTGGCGACCTCTTTGAACTCATGCGGTCCTTGCACGAGTTTCTAAGCCTCGGCCACACCCATTTGGATTACCGAAACCAGGACCTTTCCGGTTTTTTCACCTCCATCGACAAAGACCGCTTCTTAGCAGCCTGGCGACTACTGCTAACCTGGTACCGACAACGACAACCACACTCCTCTACCACACACCTCACAGTGGACACACTTGACACCTCTGCCATCACCCGCGTCTACAACGGACGCCGTCGCCGACACAAACCCACACAACGCACCCTGTGGCTCGACGACATCCCCGAGATCATTCAGGCCACCCTTGACATGCAGATCTTCTCTGTCGGCCTTCGTTCATTCAGGCAAACACGTGGGGCACCGATGGGATCCCCCGCGTCCCCAGCTCTCTGTTTGATGGTGATCGCGGTCGCCGAACAATGTTGGACCAACACTCACACCACATCGGGACTTCGCTCCGTTGAAGATACTCTCCTGCTCCGCTACGTGGACAACAGACTCGTGATCGCAACCCCCAGGTGGCTCTCGACTCCGGCAGCCAACATACTGTGCGACGAACACTTCTATGGAGGAGACATCTTCCTGGAAACAGAAGCCGCCCTGGACTTCTTGGGGTTCCGACTGAACCTCACAAGCAGCACCATCTCCTTCATTCCCTCGCATGAGAAGCACAACATGCTCTCCGTCAAGTCAGCCGCACCAATGATACATAAGGAATCTGGATATTATTCCAGACGCACGCTGATCAGCCGAGTTTCCTTTCCTGAATTTCAGCGAGATCAGGATCTTGCAATGTTGAAGAGGTTGTACCTCCAACACGGTTTCACCTTACAAAGAGAAGAAAAACCGTCCTTTGCGAAACCACACTGGTTTTCTTCTCTGCCTTTGCACCCTGACAGATTTGACCTGATTTTCGTGCCGCAGCTGTTTGACTGTTTGACCAAAACCCGTTGCGAGCATGGATACCAACACAGCACGCCAGCTGCTCCAAGACTTCGAACTCATCCTTGGCATTGCCCAACAAGGCATCGCCACCATCCGCGAGTTCACTGAGAGTCCGACTGCCGAACTTGATTTGGCACCGGAGGCCACGCTCAACCCCGCCATTGAGGACCTCTTTGAGCCACCTCCTGATGCTCCAGATGAACACCTTCCCACTGATCATGACGAACAATTCCCTGATCATTGGGCTCCGCCCACCCCTCCTTCGTCTTCTCCCGGCGAAAAAGGAGCTCGCCGCGCACGTGATTTGGTCTCCTCACGATCTACGGCAAATCTGCTCGTGTTTTGGATGCATTTGCATTCAAGCATTTTTACTGACTGCGTTTTGCATCTCGGCTAGTGAAGCCTCTCGAGATAAGTGTGTGTGTGCGCGCGTGTGTGCGTGCGTGTGCGTTGTTGAGGGAGCCCATTTCACCGTGGTTTAAAGCGAAACCAAACAGGAAAATCACCAGCTTCCAGGTCCCCCTATTTTGACACATACTCAAAAATCCAAAGAAGACCAGCCCATCTCCCAAAGATGGGGGAACAAATTGGAAGGCAGGAATTGTTAAGGAGACATGAGGCGTAATCGCCCAGGGCAACAAAACAAACAGCTGGGTGAGCTTTAGGCTTTGGTCCGGGACAAGTCCCAAGAGGAAGTAAGCTTGTTGTGTTGGTGGGCAGCATGTTAGGTGAATCTAACCACTCGGTGATTAATCAACAGCTCAGCACACTTTCTGCCAAAATGCATGGAATAGAACAGGATAAGCCCTGGAATTTACAACACATAACCGAGCAAATCAGTTTGATCCCTATGGCAACTTTTCCACTCCACCAACACCCGACCACAACCCCGAACAAAATGTCCTGGTTCACCTGCAACCCGAACAGTCAAATGGAACCACCCGTTAGACAAATCTCCTTTTGGTGGAGCCCCACTCTCAGGGACACTTGCCAAGGCAGAACCGGGCCGCCGCGCAGTGTCCACCACATCGCCTGCAAGTCGAGCAGGGCTCCCTATATGGGGGTGTCTTAAAATGGGGGACCCCCACCCAAAATGGGACCCCCCACCCTTCAAAACCCACCAACAATTGGATAAACTCAAGAAAAGACATCCCGATATTCTCCCTTTGAACATCACCCCACCGACCGGAAACTCACTTCAAGTTGGCGCAGAAGGGCACACACAGTATTCTCTGATCCTATATTCAAGACTTAGATACCCCATATGATCAAAACATATCACCACTTAATTTGGTTTTAAAGTATACCCCACAAACCCACTCCAATGGGTTCTGCCTTGCGGCAGATCGAGCACCTGCTTGTCCTTGTGCCGATCAGGTCTTTTGCTCGCACAAAGGCCAGGCTGCTTGGTTTGGGGTGTTTCGTGTTTATCTGGTTAGCTAAACAAACAACGTAACACGCTTCATCATACATGCCTTCCAACTCAAGTTGGTATCATCCATTGCAGGCCCCCTTCTTGTAGCCCTTGTCATAGGACGCTCTGCCCAGATGCACTCGAGTCCTCCAGATCCTGCATCTCACTGTCCGGACAAATGCCCAGGCTCCCGTCACGTAGGCAGTAAGGTTCTTGGGGGAAACCAAAAGGAAACCCATTTTGGGGGTCCAGAGTCCTGGTCAAAATTTCAGGAGCGAGTTTCGGGAAGGATGCAGGACTATGAAATTGTGATTGATTCTCACTTAGTTCGACTTCAAAGTCATTACCCCACACCTTAGCCCACATCTGGAGTACACGTAAACTACCTTGTTCCGAGTCCGCATCATATTGAGTCTACCCCGGATAAAAATAGTGTATATACATATATATATATATATGTATGTTATATATGTATTGGAGAAGCCCCCAAACAACCCCACTCACGGGTATGCGAAACAACCCTTTCCGTGATGAAGTGGGCCGTCCCCATATCTACTCTATCACTTCATGCGGGTTTCTTAGTATCACAGAAAGTGGAATCCAAGCCTTTTTTTATCTTCTTTGATAATACGCTTTTCGGGATGGTGTTACCGGAAAACCCATGTAACAAACAAAACAAACTGGACAACCAAAGCGAAAACAAAGATCTGGAGGACAGGACTGCTTCCTGTGAATGGCTGGCGTCAGCATCACCTCACAAGTGCCGAATGCTGCCATTCTGTGGTAGAGTGCGTATCACGAGCAAACATTGCAGCATGTGAAGGGAAATAGCCTGTTCCATGGCCACGGAACTGCAGCAGTTGATACTTCCAACATGGGAAAAATATACGGATCACTGCCCGTTTCCGCCCCGTTCTGCCTGCCAGCTTGGCCACAGCCTTGCGGAAGAGCAGCTTGGCCGGGCCCCAAACCTCGGGTTGGCCGGTGGTCGGAGGTGCGGCGCGTTGCAGTGGATGTGGTGTTGTTCTGTTTTGTTTGATGAAACACCTAAACTTAAGGTTTGGTTTTGATAAAACCCGACGCACTGCATTTCTTTGTTCTTAAACAAAACATGAGGTGGCCAAACTACCCGCAGGAAAAGGCAGATTACCCCCAAAAGTGTCCACTTTCGTGAGCTTGCCAGTGCAGGTATGGGTCAAAATGGTGAGTTGGACCCGACATCAGGGATTTGGACCCTTAAAACGGATGCCTGTCGCTAAACGGGGCACCCTTAAAGGGTGTTGGGAAAGCGAATTTGCCAAACAGGGCAGCAACGAGGGGCGGAGGCCTGAAACTTTTGGGGGGTATTTTCTTTGTCTGGGGGTGGTTTAAGGGGACAACCAAGGGAAAGTGAGCCCCAAGCGATAGAGCCTCAGTCATGCCTGTGAATAGGATTCGGTTGAGGGCTCCTTTGAGGTTTTCTTGAAATACGCCCCCAAAAATCGGCTTTTCCATTTTACGCAACTTTCACAGGCTTACAATACTGCGCGGAGTCAATTGTGAAAACCAGTACAGGAATGCTTGGCCCAGTCCCATATGGGTGTGCGTGCTTTTTGAGGGTAGTCCTTTTCACCTACAAAGAAGCCAAACACATACCCATATGACTGTTTAACTGGGCTATGCAAATTAGAGGGCTGGCCAATCCTTATCCAGAATATCAGTTGACACCCCACATAAGGTTCCTTTCGCAACCCAAAGGGAGGATTGATCCTGATTTATGTTTTAAGCGCCCCCAGCTTGAACAACCTCCAGTTGGTCTCCCGGATTAACGGGATCAGCGTCTGGCTGGGCAAATGCTACAAGAGCCAGCCTGAAGCAGCTCTCAATCTTAGAGCGCCACATCTTTCACATCAGGCTCTACTTTCGCCTCGCGCTGAAGATGCGCTGCGCTCGCCAAACGTTGTTCTCTGGGTTGTACATAGGAGGACTGGACAAGTCAAGCAATTGATCTATGTTTGGCTCCCTTTTGGACGATCAATAACTACGAGCTACTTTCCACTTGCCCAATTGCCCAGTTCGGCAGGTGGTCTCCCTATCCTTTTTGCCCATAGTTCTTTGGAGGCACCGCAACCAATTCCCTCCGAAAGTTCGGCAACTTTCTAAAAAGCTCAGGTGATATCCCCAACAGCATGCGGAGCTCTTTTTAGTGCTCGCACCACCCCGCAGCCCTCGCAGAACCTCGTGGAACCCTGGTGGAACCCTGGTGGAACCCTGGTGGAACCCTGGTGGAACCCGCGTGGAACCCTCGTGCAACCGTAACCTTACCTCAGGGCCACCCCGGACCACCCCGGAGCCTATCTGGGCTGAGACTCCAAAGATTTCAGCTGTTGGGGAAAATCGGATCTTTGCGGGACCTTGTTGAAGTACAGCATGAGTTGGTTCACTGCTGCAGACGCATAAAAACCAAACCTTACCCGACATGGGATTGGCACGGCTGACGCGGTGGTTTTTACGGATTGCCACTGCTTGCGGCAGCACATGGCAGCACAAAGTGTCACTAAACTTGGGCCCCTTGATGTGAGAACCCATCATGTTCAAGTGCCCCAAACGGCACACATGGGGCATCCCCTATCTCTGCTAGTTCACTCGCTGACGCTCCTATGTCATGTTTTGCAAACCCGAAGCGGGTGTTGGCGGCAACACTCACTTGTCCAAAGGAGCAAAATGCAATTGTTTATACTTTGCGGGGTACTGAATTTCAGGATGTCTTGAAGGGAAACCGTGCCGGGGAAATGAAACACGTGTTTCGCGCTATTTTGACGCATACCCTTTTGATGCGACACACGCGTATACACACACACACACACACCCAGCCTTTTCCTGCTGGACTTTCTTAGCACACTTGCTGGACATGGAGCCTGTTTGATTGTATAGGGTGGTTTCTAATTTGCCGCATTGGGTGTCTGAAGGGCGGTGGTACGAGGGGAAGCAGATTCTTGGCACTGGGGTACAAGCAGTTCGGGGTCAGCACTTTCCCAAGATCTGAAAGCTATGGGGTCGATAGGCCCAGATAGGCTCCGGGGTGGCGGTGGGTGAATCCCCGATTCCTAGTGGAAATCCGGTTGGGGTCGCCCATGTCATCCCCTGATTCGATGACGGCACTCCTCGCTCGCTGCCTACTTCGCTATCGAGGCGGACAGTAGCCGCCATAAAACAACCAGGTACATGTCCAGTTGTTCGGTGACCCTGGTAGAAAAAAGGGAGCTAAGGGAATGCTCTTGGGGGGTTGAACATTTTACTTTTCTGGGGAACCCAAACTGATTTAGAGGGGGGTATCTACTCAAGAACCTGGACAAGAGGCATCCCCTGAAGTGGCGCTTCTCACCCGCTCCAAAAACAGGGTACCCCCCACCACCAGATTGAAGAAACAAAACCATGTCGCACTCCAACATTTTTTGCCAAAGGAGTTGCCCCCCACCCCCCACCCCCGCCCCCCCCACCTCCCACCCTCCACCCCCCAACCTCCCACCCCACCCCGCCAGTCAGTTCAAACGGAGACAACGGCTCGCGCACGTCACGTCTCCGGGGTCGCTCCACCCGTCGCTCGGACCCGTCGCGCCCCTAGAGCGCGCCTCCACGAGCCCGGCTTCCGCGTCCAGCTGCCGCACCTGCAGAATCTGGCCCGCCACGCCCAGCTCAAGGCGCAGAAACTCCACCAGGAGCTTCACCTCAGAGAGACACGTGGCTGAGCTGCCCTCAGATCCCCTAAAAGTGACGAACTTTTAGTGGGGTAAATGGAAACTGCCACTAAACGCTAAAAGGCTAAAAGGCTAAGGGGATGGCCGGGAGCCACCAAGGTGGGTGTGGCTCAGAGGATGGGGGGCCGAAATGGCCGTGGCTCAAAATCCAAATCGTACCCCCAGTGAACATCCCGATCCAACCACTAAAATAGGTTCTAAAATGGGTGGTGCACCTACCCCAAAATGGTACCATTGGTTTGAACCACACAAATTGGAACCCTGGTAAATGGACAGGCAGAGTAAAACCCGCGTACCCCCAGTAGACACACCCATTGTGCTGTTAATTGAGCTACCCCAGTTCATCGGTGGTTCTCCTTCTGGTTCTTTCGGTCATGAGTCATACCCAGATGAGCCATGGCCAACTTCATCAGACCCAATCTGGTTACGCCCCCATCTGGTTCCGAAAGTAACAGACCAAGAATACTGATGGACGGCCAAAATCCGCGCGAATGGCTCGTTGCATCAGTTGGGATGGATGAAATCCGATTTGAATACTGGTTGGTGAACCACCAACCCCAACTGGTGCCAAGCGTATTTCGGCCATCCATAGCACTTGTAGGGATTGATCTCCCATAACTGCCATTCCATTCAACCAGCGTTCTATTCAGACAGCTGCAGCTTTCTCTGGGTGTTGGGCGGTTTTCCGGAAAGAATCTCTGGCAGGATGGGGAAGTTCCCCCCAAAACGCTGTGATAAGCGGTGTTCACCAGTCAGGCGCTTTTTTGGGATTGGCTCCATGAGACGTGACCTGTCAAATGACCCGCCAGTCTGAGCGGGATCCGAACTGGGGAACCAAGTTGCTACATCCAGTTGCCGCCTTTGACAGGAAGGGTTCAACCAAAAAAAGCGGGATCGAATCAACCTGGACCGAGCCTGAATGAGAATTCTTGCAATCAAAGGGAAACCAACAGCAGAACCGGAAGGTCGTCCCACAAAAACAGACAAACCTAGGTAGACCCAACTCAAAACACAACCACTTTCCGGAGCCCCAAGCCAAAACATGCAGAAAGTGTCTTTTGTGTTTTTGGGTTTCCAGGTCAAGTCAGCCCACAACAAATTTCCGGGTCCACTAAGGTGATCTCCTCCAAAATGCCCTTTAAATGGAAGTGTGATTAAAAAAAAAAAAAAATCATCTCAGTGGAGTGTTCCCCAAACAAATGATTTGACACCGGGAAACATGGGAATACAGGTAGCTTTCCTCGGTTTCCCTTGTTCACTCGGCATCCTGAAAGCGGACGAATCAATCCCCCAACCAGATCCAACTGACAAACGCAGCACACCCTTGGGCCATTTGAAGTCAGGGATGGTTGTGGCACATTTCAAGGGAACCGATGAATAACCCCCTCTGGAGGCCGAGAGGTGAACAAAAACAAATCAGAACTCGGCCAACTCCAAACAGAAACGCGGGAAAGCTTGTGGAATACAGGTGTCCCTAGTGGGCTTGGGTGAGCAGGACCTCCCCTCCCCTCCCCCCCCCAAAAGAAATAGAACTGGCTGTTTCTTGACAAGGTCCTCCAGTGGAGAGGAGAGGTTAGAATAAGGGTGCCCTTTTTTCTGTAGTTTGTTTTAGTAGGGGAACCCTCCCCCAAAAAAGGGTAAAAGTGCACTACTGGGGGACCTAATTGAGACACAGTCCACTTCCTAGCCCACGTCCAACCGAACACACAACAAAACTTGTATGCGGCAGACTCATGTTACCACCTCTCCAAGAAGGCATGTTGAATGAGAGACCAGGCAGACAGGGGAATACGGGTTGTTCGCTTGCTTCCCGTGTTCTGCTTGGTTTCCCTCATAGGGAGGCGAGGTAACACTAGATGCTGGAACTATGCAATAGGGTGGAGATTGGCTCATGTCACCAAGCGAGACATACAGCCCCTGCTGGCTTCAGGATCACCATGTCAACCCCATGTCAACCCCTGACTAGAAAAGGAAGTGCTCACCATGGGTGTTCCATACTTTTCAGATATAACCTGAAACAGCAGGTATTTGGAGTAGGTCAGGAATCCCTAGGAAGCTTTTTGGCGAGCGATGCTTCCCATCGTGGAGTGAGACCTGAAGGAGTATAGACAGGAGACTAGAAGCCGACAAAAACACAAATGTGTTTTTCCGCATGCCTTCTAGTAAAACGCGTTGAGGGGTTGACATCACGCCCCCAAACCAGCAGAGGTATCTGGAGCAGAGAGGTCGGAAAGAAAATTCAAGAGGACATGCACACATGGTCTCTTCTCCCCTTGTTTTTTTTAAAATCAAAAATTTGAATGGGCTCCCTATGTCCTCCTCGGACAAAGAATAGCCCACTACTATGCCAAGTCCAGCTCTCTTTCCCAATATGTCTACCAGGCGTGGTTTCCAAGCAGGGTTCGAAACACTGCATTATCATTGTTGTTTGACAATTTACATTGAACATGGTGGGCCATGACAGAAACCACGAAAAATTGGAGGATGTCAAAATAGCAGGCACTTTTGAAACCATGATATTCCCAGTGCTTCCAGTTACCACTCTAGTAGGTGACCCTTCTGGTCGGATACCTCTATATAGGTGTTAGCATGGATGCTTTCCCTGGTTACCTACTGGGGTGGTAACTAAAACCTCCATTGGCTTCAGCCCCCTGGAAAAAACGAGAAACTATTTCCAGTCCTGAAAACAATTCCCTTTACAACCAGGGAAAATAACAAAAACATTCATTTCAGCAAGGAAAGCACTCTGGTTCGTTCTTCTAGGTATTACCATGGATGGTTTCCCAGGTTACCTCCTGTGGTAGTACCCTCCCACCAACTAACATGGAAGTGCACAAAGCCCTTTTCCAAGAAAAACAAGTCGTCTTTCCACAAGGGGTCTGTGCACTTCGTTACTCGGTGCTAGGGTAGGCCTACTGTGGTGGTAACTGAATCCATGGATGGATGTGGATGGTTTCCCCCCGGGTACCTACTGTGGTACCTGAACACAAGCAAGAGGAAGGAACGGTTCAGCTCCGCGCCGAGCTGGGTGCACACCGGAGCCCACGGAAGAGGAGCTTCCGCGCGGCGTCCACGTGGCCTCGCGGGGGAGCCAAGCGCATGGGGCCACGTCCAGCCCCGAAGGGTTCAACCCCCATGAAACGAACAGAAGGGTGCATCCTGGGCCCTGGGTTTTTGCACCCAAGCGCTGAAAATGGAAAACACTAGGGCACAAAGGCGTACCCCTCTCTAAAATAATTGTAAGGACCCAACTTGGATGATGACAACCCTTAGGTAAACAATAGTGGTTATATGAACCCCCATTGTTTTCATGGTGGTTTGAGCCCCAGGGCCCCTGTTCGGCGCGCCAGGAGAAGATCAACGCTTTTAGCGAGACCATGTTGCTCAACATGGTAGCCAGCCAAGAAAGAAGTTGAAGAGATCGGGTGTCAAATCATGGGAAGCCAGAACTAAGAGTCCACTGGTTGATTAATACGCGGGTCTCCCATTTTGGAGGCTCGACAAGTTCAAACGTTTTGGCTCTAGACTAAAATGATAAAAGAAGCCTGGCAACAACAAAAACCTTGAACATTAAAACATGAAGAGGACAAATAGGGAGTGTGAAAAGAATCACACTGTACCTGTCCACGTTGCGCTTTCCTTTTGAGGACAAAGATCGTTGGGCTCTGCAAGCAGGAGACCTGTGATCTTCGATCTTCAGGATGGTGCCAACAGGGACCAGGGAATCTGGGCTGTTCGTTTTCAGAACCCCTGCTGAAAGTGAATAACTTGTCGGTTAACTTAGGAAACCCAACCCTTAAACCAACGAAAAACATTGAAAAACCGAAGGCGACGGCTGGGAACCGCCAATACATGTCATGTGTTTTTTCCATTGACAAGGTTAGCTCCCCCCAACTGCTATAGGTTGTTTCTTTTGGGGCCACTCACAAGGGACAGCCGGTAGCAATTGACCTCTTCTGCGTGGAAACAGTAGTTCGGATGGGGAAATCCGCCCGCCAAACAAGAATGGCTTCTCATGGGACAGTAGGCGCCCAAGAGAGTGTTCCGACTGTTGGGTTGCCCCCCCAAAGGCGTTTTCTGTTTGGTTGAAAGTCACAAGGTGCGCAGGGATGGTCTCCTATGCGATGTGGGCTGAGTTTAGGAAAAACATGGCTCCATCATGCTTGGGGTTGAACATGGTTGAGCAATAAGGGCCCGCTGGTTCAGCCGGGGCCTTTGGGTTGCAATTGGTTTTCCCCAACAGCTCCCTGGCAAACGGAGTAGATAGGCCCAAACAGGCGACTCCGGGCCTTTTCGGGCTCAAGGGTGCAAAGGGGGTTGCTGTTGCCATGTCCGAACGCGACCCCTGGAAAAAATGAGAACATAGATTCGGTTGTCATGGATTCCCTTCAAAGCCAGGGGAACAGAAACAATTCAGCGAATGAAAGGGAAGGGCTCGGGACCTTTTGGTCGTTTCTCCAGGTTTTTTTCCATGTCCTTTGGGCAAGTGAGACATGGTGTAGAACCACTTGCCTAAGGGATTCTAGTAATCCTATAGAAGCCCATACCACCAACAGCAAACGGGACCAAAAGCTCGGGCAAGTGAAACATCGGATGTTCGATTCGGCCATAAGTATGTGGTTCGCCACTTGGGATATAACCCCCAAAAAGAAAGTCGGGGACTCAAAAGTGGAGGTTTACCAACAACTTACTAACCTTGTTGGTGCTCAGTAGGGAATGACCGTCTTCCCTTAAATGAATCCAAATCAGGGCTGGTTTTTCTCGGGGTCATTGCATTTCTCATTCCTTGCCTATCGAACCAGCACGTAACTTGGCCTAGCACCCAAGTACCAAAAAATGGTCCCAGCCGCGTGGAAAATGAAACATATTTCCAGTAATGAACCTGGAAAAGTAACACACATATTCATTTCAGCATATGAAGCATATTGAAAGCAAGAGAAAGGGTACCACCGGATCTCTGGACCTTTTGGTCGTATCGGTTCGTTGGGGCGCTCTGCGCGCAAAAAATCTTCGCCCGTCCCCGTCCTTGCTGGAGCTCCCGATCGGCGGAAAGCAACCACAGAGACACCTCCTGGGGGTGGTACCTCGAGACTCGCGCTCCGACAAATCCGTGCGAAGCGCCCTCCCACAAAAAACCACCCAAAGAACAGGGTTAAATATGCGGCTTGCTGCGCCCAACCCATTCTCCTAGCAAAAACGAACTCTTTGCCTGCTTCGAGCCCTGTAGCGAAAGCACGCAAAGGCACGTTGCGAAAACACGCACACTGTTCATGAAGCAAGCGGCTTTTGGTAGATCGCTACATTGCTTTCCATATTTTGTCCACCAGAAGACCTCCGAAGTGATACTTTCTTCATAGACCCTTTCGCCTGTCTCCATGAAACTTACCCAAAACATGCTTCCCCCAAGAGTAATTTGTGAAGGGAGAAGGGGGAGGGGGCTGTCACTAGGGAAAACTATAAGGCGTCACTTGAGGCGCAACAAGTACACATGCACATCTCTTGGAGAGGTCCCTTGCTTTCACGCCTAACGTGGAGACAATCTTATTAGCAATGGACAAAATCACTCGCTTCCCCAAAAGGACATGGAACCATTGGGTGATCCCCGTTCGTGGATAATTTGGATTGGAGCGCACAGTCCCTACTAACAAAATTGTCACCAAAATAGCTTTGTGTGACAACGCGTCGGCAGCCAGAACTTACGCAGATGTCTTAGAACTTATGAATTGTTCACGGCACCTTCGAGAGTGCCAAATCGGCATATTCCCACCTCAGCCAGAGCCGAAAAACAATCTCCCCACCTCTCCAAGAAACCCCTGTCTTTGGTGGGTAATGTTACATGCTGACCCCGGATTCTATCAGGATGGGGGGGTGGTCCCTCCAACAATGAAGAACTCCCACTACAAGAGGGCAGCCCCCCATCAAAATCCACCAGGAATTCTACTTACGATCCCGGGTTCCCATTCATTGGCCCATTGCCCTCCGGCGCACTTCAGCGCGCTCATAAGCACATGCGTTAGTACTCTGCTGCTGCCTGGCTTGATCGGCTTGGCTAACAGGGCCCGCATCCAGGCCGCATTTGCAGAAAAACTGGGCGCACAGGGTGGGGGGTGGCTGGATCTCATGATGATATTGCCATGAACAAAGGGTTTTGTGATTGTGGCTGGTTCACTTGCAGAAACCCCATACCTCCCACATGTTCTCAAAGATACGTCTTGGGAAAATATCCTGGGAGAACACGTGGATGACGAAACAAAGTGGCGCAACGCGTCTTTCAACTCCCTACTTTTGGTTCGGGGGCTCCAACAAACAGGTTGAGGGAGAGGGGTCAAAAAACTAGGACCCCGGTCTGTTCGAATTTCATTCAACGTTGTGGGTCAGGAAAAACGCAACACGAGGCCGACACCAACGGGTCGAGGAGCATAAGATTAGTTGCAGGCCGGTGGACGAATTAAATTCTGCCTGCCGCAAAACAACAACAGCGAAAACGCAAAAACAAGGGGGTTGCCGGGACTAGGAGCCCCTTTTGGCCTCCCCTTCAAAATAAATAAGTGGTGACACAAGAGAAGCCAAAGGTAAAAAACCTCACCCTCAAAAACAACAACACGGAACAATGCCGGGGTTTCCTCACAAATAGTTTGGTGGGCGCTGCCCTGTGAATCTCCTCGTGCTCTCGGGCTTTGATGTCCAAGTCTTTGAGTTGCTCTGCCTCAAATAGAGGGGCGAACAGAATGGATATCGTCCACATAGCCGTCCCATGTAAGGCTGGGAAGAAGGGCTCAAACTATCCAACACAAGACTCAGTAGTGCAGTGATCGGCTTCTGCTCCTTAAGTGCAAGCTCAATGACCTTTCCACATGTTGCTCTGGTTGTCTCCCAAGCCAAACGAAGTCTCGGTGACCAACTGAGCCTTTGCTTGAATCGGTGTTTTCTACATAGATGTTCTTGTAGGATATGGAACTCAGCTGCTGTCAGCCAAAGTGAAGATGTAGGGGTCCCTGACTTTCAGCTGCTGAATGATCATCTTCCGTCATGTTGGCCCAAGTTTGGCTCAAGTTTTGCTCATAATAAGTGCTGCAACTCCGATGTCGCAATCACCCAGACATACTGCAGAAAGGGGCGCCCGCACTGGACAACGACTGGGGTGCTTTCAGTGGGCGCTAAAGAAATGTTCTTTCTCAACAAGATTTCTTGCTAGGGTGGACGCGGGCGCCGGATGACATAAATTATCACAGCTTGCGCCCTATAAGATGTTGCCAATAGCTTGAGATACGCGGCGTCGCACCGTACGCCTATGCTGCCACTATCGCCGGCTGAAGACAGGGGAGACCCTCGCAGACGGCTGGGCGATCGAACGCTTGCGAACTCAGATCCCAGCGTTCCACACAAAAGCGGCTATTGGCAGGCCCCGAAGCCTGAATAGCGCTGCCGGGAGCCGCGCTTTAAAATTCGGCAAGCCACACGCTGCTGCGATGGAAGCCGCGCGCCACTGAGGCATGCTTGCGGCAATCCACGCGCTGCCCAGGCAAAGCTGAGCGCACGCTGCCCCAACAAAGCTAAGAGCGTTGCCGCAACCCGGCCAACGTCTGAGCCTCGTCCGTTTGTCACTGGTATTTGGCAAGCTCAGGGCTGGTGAGACTTCAGCGCTCCGTTTGGCTAAGCCCAGAAGCTTGCGTTTGTTCTGAGCCTGTTTCGTTCTGCTTTCCATCATGGAAAGATTTGACAATAAGAAGGTCTGACGGGAAGGTCATAATAATGCTACAGGCCAAAGTGGGTGCCCAGTGTAGGTAAGCCGTTTGATCCTAACCCCTTGCTGAATAAGCGCAGTCCAACCGCGTTGCTCAACTTACATCCACTTACTGCCCGCTTGGCGACCCCGTGATCTGGAAGGGATACCAAGCCTACAAAAAAAGAAGCTTGGTGCCCGAAAACTGCCCCATGTTGGTGCTAAAACTTACTTCGCCTTTCCTTCTTCAGAGTGGCGCCTAGGGCTCACTTACAGTCCTCCTGCAACAATGTGCATCGGCCAAGCTTTGGCAACATCGCCCCACGCACGAAACCACTGGCCTGTCCAGCTGAACGCCGCAAGGATTTACACAGGTGACAGCCTGTAGAGGCTTGGATCTGCAAACGCGTGAAGATACCAACCTTGGACTGCAGGCAACACTCACGCGCAGCTTCTTGGCTGTTTAGATTGCATTTGTCAAAGAGGAAACATTTAGATTGCATTAGGCTTTCCAACTCACTGCCCTAGCAAGCCACACGGCAGACTTGGCAAGGTTGCAACTTGCCGACCTACCAAAGTTCCAACGCTGCAAGGCCTTGGTTGCAAAACAGAATTGGCAGGGCTCATGCCCACGCAACTCTGCCAAGCAGCAGGCTTGGCAACATTGCAAAACTGCGGCAGTTGCAGTGGGGGCGGGGCGAGTGCTGCAGGCGGTATGCGCGCTGCTGGTGCAGCAGGCACAGCAGACGCGGCCGTGGGCAACACACGGGCGGAGCTTCCACCTTGCGTGGAAAGTCCTGCCGACAGCATTCACTTGCACACCGGGGTCTGTGGCATCTCGTTCAGAAGGTTGCGGAGTTGGTCTTGAGTCAAGCCATGCTCACACGCAAACCCCGCCACTGCCTGACATGCTTCTGCAAACTCAAGACAATTCTCTGAGGTTGCCATCTCTGTACGTTCTCTACATTAGCCAATGAGCAGCTTGCGAAACCTCTTGATCGTTTTGGTGCGACCCTATCATTTCACATGCTGATCCGCGTTTCACATTGCATTCAACAACTCCAGCTCGCAGGACACAGCTTTTCAGCGCCAGTGTGCTCAAGGAAGCTTAGCTCGAACGGCACACCTTTGCGGCTGGCACAACCGTCGCAGCTTTTCTGCGCTGGTGTAGTAAAATCAAGGCAGAACACTTCACCAGCTCCGGCTCGAAGCTCGCAAATTTGCAGCGCTAGTGTAATCTTGGAAGACACTTGGGCACCTCTAGCTCGACATCGCCACTTTTCAGTCCAAGCCTGGTTGGTTGCTTGATTGCTTGCTTGCTTGCTTTCTTGGTTGTTTGCTTGCGCCAAAAACCTCCTTGTCTGGCACACGGGAAAGACTTCGCCTCAGCAAAGCAGCATATTGCGGAGGCTTAATTTTTTGGGAGAAGGTGAGAAGGTGAAAGAAAAGAAGCTGGAGGAGCTTCCTACAACAGGCAAAGAGAGAGGAGGCCTGCCAGAGTGTGCTCGCTTACTACACGCGTATGGACGAGCTGCGACTTTCGAGTTGGAGCTGCCAAAGCGCACCAAGAAGAAGAAGCTTCCGTGCGAACATACCCATGCTGCGCCACAGCGGAGCACAGACACTTTCTTCAGGAAGATGTCAATCCTTAGATGCTCTGACAGAAATTGCGCACACCCCTCCAACTTTCCCAGTCGATCAAAACTGCAACTATAGAAACAAAAAAAGAAATGAGGGGGTCCTATCTGATTCTTCCGCGCTATTGTGTTCGTGGCTTGTGAGTGCTTCAAACACTCAACCCCCAGGAAAAAATCGAGTCGCCGCGCCGCGCAGCGATGCGCAGACACGTTTGCCCGGTCTGAGCCAGACGCACGCCCAGAAGGCGGACCCACCAGGCAAGCCGCCAGAAAACTTGGCAAACCAACCAACCAACCAGACAAGCAAGCAAGCCAAGCAAAGCAAAGCAAAGCAAAGCAAAGCAAAGCAAAGCAAAGCAAGCAAAACAAGCAAAGCAAGCAAAGCAAGAAAAGCACGCAAAGCAAGCAAAGCATCAAAGCAATCAAAGCAAGCAAAGCAAGCAAAGCAAGCAAAGCAAGCAAAGCAAGCAAAGCAAGCAAAGCAAGCAAAGCAAGCAAAGCAAGCAAAGCAAGCAAAGCAAGCAAAGCAAGCAAAGCAAGCAAAGCAAGCAAAGCAAAGCAAAGCAAAGCAAGCAAAGCAAGCAAAGCAAGCAAAGCAAGCAAAGCAAAGCAAGCAAGCAAGCAAGCAAGCAAGCAAGCAAGCAAGCAAGCAAGCAAGCAAGCAAGCAAGCAAGCAAGCAAGACAAGCAACCACCAACCACCAGCTGACCGACTGACCAAGCTAAGCTACAACCAGCCAAGCCAAGCGACCAACCAACCAACCAACCAACGAACCAACGAGCCAACCAACCAAACAACCAATCAACCCAGCCAATCCAGCCAAAGGGACTGGTGAAATGCCTGTCTTGGCTCAAGGCTGCTCCTTCGCACCCACACATGCGAAAAACAATGACCTGCAAAAAGTTTGGTTTTTTCAATGGCTGCCCTGCACTGAGTTTGAATAAAAAACATTTGCACCCGAGTCCTTTGAAAACCTATCACCCTAAACCCAAAGGCCGAAGCTTCTCCTGAGTCCAATCTTGGCGCAGGCCCACCAGTTGCAATAGATTGCTGAAGAATTTGGCCCCTAAAGCAAAATTGCCAGAAATACAATAGCAAGGTCAAACACCCAAACTTTGCCATTGTGCAATCTTGGCGTTCGCAAGCACAAGCACCTGGGATGGAGCTTGGCGGTTGTAGGTGGTGTAAGGGATGAAGCAAGAAAAGGATGTGACCTGAGGGTCTGCTTGGTTGTTGTCATGAGCTTGCTGGCGCTATATCAAACTAGTTTGCGTTCACAATTTTCCCAGGGCAGGAGAAAAAGTAAGCATACTGGCAGTTCGACTCGCGGGACTATTAACCCAGTTGTTGTTTTGCAGCGCGCGCGCTTGGCCAATTGCTGGCCGGACTCCCACCTGCAAAGCGAACTCCCCCGGGCACACGCTTAGCAGGGGCGGGCTGCGCCGTAAGGGCGCACATGTTGACGCGCGGCAGCGCGTAGCATGCAGAGGGCGCAGGGCGTCCACCGGACAGCGTTCTGCATAGCTCGGGGTGAGCATAGCCAGCGCCGACCTGAAAGAGGTTATGCAGTCTTGAATGCTATCCCAGCAGGTTTTGGGAGTTGTCTTCAGAAGCGGTGGAAACCGGCGCGTGGCCTTGCAAGAAACGTTTCCTGATTGGCGTCAAGTGGTATCCCCGGCAAAGATGGGCCACATGATGCGCAACTGCGGTACGGTGGACAGGCTTCAGGATAGGTCTTGGCTTGCTGGCCCTGGTGCTGAAGCTGCGCGGTTGGCATCTGGCAGCGCTAAGCTTGCCGCAGCCCCCGGCCGGGGCAAGCAGTCTGCCGCGGCCATGCTCTGACTGATATTCGGATTGGGCGTGGGGTTGCATTTGGCATGCAACACGCAGCTGTGTATCAAAGTCGTCTGCAAAGATTCTGCGGGCTTGGTGCTGGCACTATGGCCGAAGCACAGGGACTTGGGCCTGGAGAAGCTGGTGGTATGAGATCGTGTCACTGACGCGCAGTGCCGCCCACGTCCAGACCAGCAACTTCCAGCCCAGGCAGAGCGACGCCAGCAGATTAGAAGCGCTCCTGCAGCATGCTTTTCGAATGAGCTCACTCCACCCGTATTCCGCTGCTTCAGCAGTAGTGGCAACGCAGGCACATATTTCAAGCTGGGAAACATCTTAGGGCGCAGGTTGTTGATAATTGTTGCAAGCAAATGCAATTGGGCGCTCACATCCACCCCAACAGGAAATCTTGCTGAAAGAGAACATCCCCGTAGCACCTTCTGAAAGTACCCCTGCAAATTGCCCCCCCCCCCCATTTGTGCCACCTCCCCCCTCCCCAAACTGCATTAAATAATCAGGGGTAATGACACACTTACATCGGGGTGATGGACACAGACCAATTTGGGTGTGGCTCAAATTAACGGGCCAGGCTTACGCAGCTTCTAGTCTTTGGTCCCATTGCCCAAGGTGCCAATTTGGTCCATTTATTTGAGCCACAGCCGTTTCACACGAATCAAGGCGCGACTTCTTCTTTGTTGACCCCGGCGGTCTGGGCGAAGGAAAGGACTTCAACTGCGGCGGCTCGGCCGCTGCGCAGGCAGAAGTCCAGGTGTTGGTACCTTGGCACCCGGAGAACGTGCTTTTGCTTTCCCTTTTGGGCCGTTGTGCCCCCATGCCTCCATTTTCAGCCCCCAGGAAAAAATCATCTCCAGTACACTAATAAACACATGGGGAGAGGGGTCGAGGAGTATCTGGCTGCCCAAAGGGCCCCAGGAATCTGCTCGACTTATTAGGATTCACCGACGTGCGTCTGAAAAAATAGCCCGAAATCTGTCAATACGAAAGTGCACAACTAGTCACTAGGGGCTCCTTTGGCACCATGTATCACAGACAGTGGGTACAACACCGGATTTCACACGACGGTGTACCTGGGCGCAGCAAAACTCGCCATGAGTCTTCCACCAGTAAACAGTGGCGTCAAATACCGTCTTTCAAAGCAATCTGCGGATTAAATCAACTTGGTTGGTGGAGGGTGCCGCAAATGTGCGGGCTCATGGCCCCATGTTTGAAGGGTGGAGACGGCTCAAGCGACTTGGGTGCCGAAAACCTGCGTACAGGGTTCCGTTTTGTTGAGCCAGACATGGATAGGTTAGTTCTGGGTTCCTCTGACTTTGACACTACCCCGATACTTACTTGACACAACACATATGAGGGTGAGGAGAAACCACCATAAATTTCGGAATATTCAGGTAAGCAACCTTCATGATCGCTACAAGGTTCACAGTTAAGGTTCGTGCTGCTCAAAGACTTATTTGAGTGGATTGGCCAACACAAGTCCAAATATTTGGTTGCCGCTGAAATGCCTGTCTTCAATTTGGGGGGAACCCACAAAAGCGTGCTTTCCCTGTTGAATTCCTTTTAAAACCACCCTGCCGCATCTTGGTCAGGCAGATTCAGGCAGTCTCGCTCTACTGCTGGGGCTCAGCCCGCTTCAGCTTCAAAAAAAAAGTCAACAACACATCCACAGATCCTTTCGTTTTTTTTTCCCATTGAAAACCAAGAGTTGTGGGTCATGGAGGTGCAAGATCGCTCCCACCAGTTAACATGCCCAAACCATCAGGCCCGAAATGAGCCGTATCATCCATCTACCCATCACACTGATCCATGTTCTCATTGGGGTCTTCTTGGGTGGACACCAACTTAGAAGACACTTACAGAGGCAGCATTGCCTTTGCCTCTGGGTCCCCTCAAGTGACACTTAACTTGGATTGGTGGGTTTGGAGGTTGGATGGATTCCCACCAAGAACCAGGGTACACTCAAGTGGCACTTAACTTAAATTGGCGGTTTGGAGGTTGGATAGATTCCCACTCTCGCACAAGAACCGGGAAATCAAGTTCCCAAACTAATCCAGGCCGCCAACTGAGGGTTGCCAACTGAGAACCTTTCAAGACGTAACTCCGTTCCCGAACCTCCGGCCACAAGTGGAGGAAAACCGAGAGGAAGCAAACGATTCGTGGAGGTCCCAATTTTGCGTCAAACCCTCCCAGAACCAAAAAGAAGTTGACAGGTTGCTCCAAAGACGCCTGCACCGCAAACATTTTGTCCCCGGGAAAACAAAGGAGGTCGATCTAAATTTCCAGGCATTGGTCATCAGACTTGCTAAAGAGACATCCCCAAACCGGCCATGGGAATCAACGCTCTTGATTTGGTCGTTGATGTTAAAGCGCAACCCCCTAATCCAAGCTGAACAAAGGACACAGGTCTGGGCATCTGCCGAAAAATCGAGCGCAACTCGTTGCTCCGTCTTCTGGGGTCCCCCAGCCACATGCGGACATCGCCCTTGTAGCGGAACCTCAACGACTGGAACCCGAGAGGTTCACAAGAGACTCGGAGAATGCGTTCTCGCTTTCCCCTTTTGGGACACGGGAAGATTGTGTGGCCCCCCTGGTCCCCCATACGTCCCTTTGCTTAAGTCCCCAGGAAGACATGAGAAAGTATGTCCAGTAGTGAAATGGATTCCCTGTAAACCAACAAGGGAAAATAGCAAGACTAGTCATTTCAGCAAATGGACGCATAGTTAAAACAAGAGGAAGGTGTCACCGGATGTCTGGAGCAAATGGGGCAGCGGGGAACTCTGCGAGCACCCAAATGACCATGGGTAACCTTTCCCATTTAGTGGGACATATCATATTTTTGATTAGTGGTTTTCCCCAACCCTAAAATAGGACAAGTTTTGGCCGAGACGTCAGATATGTTCAACGATCAAGTCTTCTGTATTATATATATACATACATATACATGTATGTATATATATATATATATCTGGCTTCTGCTTTATTGACAGGATACCCTGAAAAAGGGGGCATATTTGGAAGTTCGAAACTGGGTGGTCTGAGCAAATCGAACAAAGTCAACATATTCATCCTGCTCTGTTTTGTCTTCAAGTGATATTCGGAATCGTGGGTACCCTCACCAACCATGTCCTAATCTCCCTTCTGCTTCAACCAAATGAGTCCTTGCTAACTTACCGTTCAACCTCCAGTTAACGCTGCAAACAACGGGCCCCTATTCTGCTAGCTTTCACCTAAGGGCCTGCTTTCAGGTCGTGGAAGAAACATGGCTCGTCCCTGTTTTAGCATTCAGACCCCGCAAAATGGCTGGGTGTCCCTGTTGGTTTTCTTTCGAAACAAGCAAACAACACAGCACCCTCAACACAAAGCAGTTGCCCGTTTGGAATAGGGGAGGATTTTTTGTTGGGAAATAACACGGGCACAGCTCGCTGAGGCTTGGCGCGAAGCACGGCGCAGGATCTTGTGCACGCGCACAACGCCAGCCTCGATCTCCATTCTGCGTCCATGTGTTTGAGTCAACTCGGCAAAGTTTACCGTAATTGAAGTTGGGTGTTCCGTTTTTTGAGGGTAACCTTTGTCTGTGGTTTGCAAGGAAAGCAACAGGACAACTTGATCCATTGTCGGGGTCTGCATGCAAGTTGAAAACAAACGAAACTGGGTCTCTGATCACTGAGAGCGCGACCTTAGCATGATTTTAAAACCTGGAACGCAGGTTTCAAAACATGAGCGACCCCCTTCGGGCGCGTGGTTTCTGCTTGGTGTCTGCCTCAAAACTGCCCAGAACGGGGTCAATCAACCAATCAATCAATCAATCAATCAATCAATCAATCAATCAATCAATCAATCAATCAACCGATCAAACAACCAACCAACCAACCAATCAATCAAATCAATCAAATCAATCGATCCAATCCAATCCAACCGAATCCAATCCAATCCAATCCAATCCAATCCAATCAGTCAAAACAAACAAAACAAATCAAACCCAATTAAGTCAAATCAAATCAATCAATCAAATCAAATCAGTCAATCAATCCAAACCCCTCCAATCCAATCCAATGCAATCCAATCCAAGCCAATCCATCTAAAATAATCAATCAAACAATTAAATCAAATTAAATCAAATTAAATCAAATCAAATCAATCATCCAATCCAATCCAACCCAATCCAATCCAACCCAACCAAATCCAATCCAATCTAATCCAGCCCAGCCCAGCCCAATCCAATCCATCTAAAATAATCAAGCAGCTAAATTAAATTAAGTCAAATCAAATCAAATCAATCAATCAATCAATCATCCAATCCAATCCAATCAAACCCAGCCCAGCCCAATCCAATCCAATCCATCTAAAATAATCAAGCAGCTAAATTGAATTAAGTCAAATCAAATCAAATCAATCAATCAATCATCCAATCCAATGCAATCCAATCCAATCCAATCCAATCAATCAATCAACGTCAGCAACCACACAACAAGTAATTGATCAAAGCAATCAAGGAAGTAATACATCAATCAACCACCCGAATCCACCCGCCCACCCGCCAAGCCGACCAATTGATCGCGGCCCAGGCATTGTCGCTGATGGTTCTCTTTCGCCACCGCAGCGCGTCCGAGCGCCGACGCCTTCGAAGTCGAAGGTTGTGCGTGGGACATGCCACATGGCGCGGATTGGGTTCAGTGCCCCCCAATCCCCCAGACTCCAAAATACTCACTTAGACTTGTTCTTGGGTATGTAAAAAAAAACACTTGTTTAACAAGCTAGTCTTCCAAGTTGCAAATACCTCCTTTTTGGCCAGCCGACGGCATACCGGTATGTCTAGTGTCCGGAGGTGGGCCCTTTGTTGGAACCTGGTTGCTCAAAGCCTCCGAACGAGCCATCTGGTCGATCACATTTTGCAGGTTTCATCAAGCCATCTGGGTGTGTCTTTTTGAAGGATTCAGACCCCCAACAATGGTGGTGTTGCTTTTCGGCTTCCCTCTAAAGTGACCAAAGACAGGGGCAACCGCGAAAACCATATAACCCATGAGTTTCCAAATGGTTCAAAACGTGGCCATTTGTCACAGACCAGCCGTGAATGCTCGACTAGGATGGACAGCGGTCAACACTTCTTGTGTTGTTGATGGATTTTGGTGACCTCTGTTTCCCAGTTGCTTATTGTTGCAAGTGTGTCCGACAGGTATCCTTCACAGCAGATGGATCTGTGTCAGAATAAGGGAACCCTGAAAATGGATGGTTTCCTTTTGGATTCCCTTTAAAACCATGCAAATCCCCACAACAATACAAACCCCAATACAAATCGGACTTGGAGGGAAACAAGGCTTCAAAGGGGTCGAATCATCTTAGGGCTGAATCCTGGCACCCTGGTTAATTGCACCGTGGCACCCATGGATTTGCCCAAGTCGGCAACCAAAAGCAGGCCCCTTTTGACTTCCCTAGTTGTGTGTGTTGCTCGTGTTTCCTTCCGATTTCATTGTGCTCATCCTGTGGCTCCGGAGCCACAGTCTGATTCATCATCTTCTCAGAAGTGGCCCTTTTGGTGCTATTCGTTTGAGTAGCCAAAAGAGCATTGACTTTTGATTCCCCATCCTTTTCAACCATCGTTATTTTCAATCACCGGCCGTTTTCGCTGGGCTTCCGGACGTTTTCTAGAAACGGATCTCTGCAAACAAGGTACTAACATGGTTGCGGTCAAAGCACGCTTTTTTTTCTATTGCCCGTAGGGTCAAAGCACAATTCAGATAAGCAATGGCCGTTTGGCTGATGTTAAAACGGAAAGCAAAGGCAATCATCCCATTTGCGGGGGTCGGAGCGTAGCTCACTCCCCCTGTGCATCCGCCTAGAACTTGCATGAAGACATGATCGGCCAAATAGCAAGACCCAGCCCCGAGACGCCTGTTGTGTTCTTCAAAAATATCCAAGGGCAAAGCTTTGGCCAAATTACAAAAAATCCCACATCGAAAATACATGGCAGTGGGAAAAATGAAGCCAAAATGTAAACCTGGTAAATGGAACCACGGACTAAACGATTAGTTTGGACCCGTCCCAAAGTAAGGGACCTATATCAAGGGGTTTCGCTCGTACACCCTGAATCTGTGAGCTCGCGTTGATTTGTGCCGCTTGCGGAACGCCCTGAAAAAACATCATAGGGGCTCCAAACAGACCTATGAAAAGGGAGAGCTCTCAGAGTCTCACACTGTGCTCTCCTAGGCCTGTCACGGGAACCCCCCTACCCCCCCCCCTTGCAAGGGCCCTGTGATGGGTCCATAAATTGGTCGATCCATGGGTTTTAACGAATGTCTTTCGGATGCTCACATGAATGTCCTTCGCTGCAAGCGATCGAACTTCTCTTTACTCTCCCCCAAGCGATTTCATGGCAGCTCCCATGACCCCCTTGGTGTGTGTGTCAAAATATGGGAACTCCTAACGGTGATTTTCCTCTTGGTGGTAGCCTTAACAACACGCACAGACCTAGGTTAGAATAAGGGTACCCTTTTTCTGCAGTCTATTTTAGTAGGGGAACCATCCCAACCAAAAAAGAAACGGTAAAAGTTGGCACCTCACGGGGCATCTAGACACACACAAACACCCATTTACCGCGGCTGTCTGGAAGCTTCCATGAGTTTGCCCCTCCACCTCAGGTTCTCCAGGGCGATCTCATAGCGGACCTCAAGTGGCGCTTGCCTCTGAGTGGTGGTTTCGTGGTTGAGAAGGGGTGTCCCATCTTGGTTGCTGTTGACTCCCCTGCAAAAAGTGAATCACTTTTGGAGGGTTTAGTGGAAACCCCCCCTTGATTTCCCCAAAAGTTAAAGTCTAAAGATCCAACCCAATAGCAGTCAAGCCATTTACACTCTACGAGAACCAGGGGATTTGAACAATCTAAGCCACCAATTAATTGAGGGGTACCTGAGCAATGGCTATGAAATGCTTCAGCTGGCCTTCCGGGGCAGGACAAAGAGTGGTGCCAAATGAATCGCGAACATCCGCAGCCATGAGACTTAGCAACAACATGCCAACTCGGGTCTGAGCAATAAGGCTTTTTAAGGGTGTGATACAACTTGTTTGGACCCTTGTTTGGAGTTGTCTGTCCAGTCCCCGTGTTGTCTAAAGCATCCGAGCCATCTGGGTTGCTCCAACTGACCCTGACCCCTTGACAAAGGCAACTGTTTTGTGGGGAAACCACCTTTTTCCAAAAGGTTGATTGGAGACCAGAAAAGCAACCAACCATGAAGCGACTTGATAAATTATTGTGTGCCTGTCTCTTTCGAGATGCACCAATGAGTTGAATTTATACGACCTAGACACACACACACACACACACCCACACACACACACACACCAGTCGCAACAATTGTCGTCAACTCAACTCAGGGTGGCGCCAAAGACCCTTTCTCAGTAGGCACTTGGCACTGGAGTCTCCTTCTGACCCTTTAAAAGTGGGGTCATCTACCTAAACCAATAGGTAATGACCCCATTTTCCAGGTAAATTGATTCTCTACCGTTGCTTGGTCGCATTCGCAACCCGCGCCCCCAAACTTGCTCAACGAACCGCCAGCAAGGGCCTCCCTATGGCTGACCGATTTGGTTATCGAAGTTTGGTGGCTGAAAGTCTGCAGGCTGCACCCTGTGGTTTTCAGGTCTGGTTTTACATGGCTTGAAGGGCTCATAGCCTTGTCCCTGCTTAAGCCCCCTGGAAAAGAACATACTTTCAATAGTGATAGATTCCCTCTAAAACCAACAGGGTAAAACAAACATTAAAAAAAAAGCGAATGGAAGCAGGCATATCCAGAGATAGCTCTCCTCAGATTACCCCGTGTTGGTGGTTTGGGTTGGTTGTTTCATGGTTCAGAGCATTTACCCTCTACAAGAACCAGGGGTTTAAGTTCCAAGGCCGACCAAAAATCACCTTTTGGTTTTATGAAGAAAAAAAACGTTTGGGTGTGTCTTAGAATAGGGGACCTCCCAAAAATCATGGCGTTTTCTTTGGTTCCCTTGAAAACCAAGCCCAAACGGGCACCCTCAAAAAATACACATCCATTTGTTTCCAAAAGGGTGTGGATTGGCGATTCGGTCACACACCAAAGACCTGCCGTGGCTTATGGATCTGTCCCAAATCTGTCTAGGGCTACCTGAAGGTTGACTGAGAGACTTGCTCCCAGTCCTTTTTCTGCAGGGATGCAACTCGAGCTCCTGCCCACCCCCCCATGCCTGCCCCCAGCCCCCAATATTAATGGTTTGCTTCCATCTCTGGTATGGCTCGAAATCACTCACCGCTCGAACTCCGCTAATGGCCTTTAGCCTGAACGCGAGCGCTGCGCTCGCGGCTCCGGTGCTTTGCACGCGTGCGGCTCAGTATGTCACAGGCGGATTTTCGAGCTGCCAGCAGATCATTCCGTTCAAAGGCATCGTCCCATTCCTCGGCAGGCATGTTGGTTGCATGCAAGCCACGATCAAAATTTGGGTCTAACATAGGGACACCCCCTAAAATGCGTGGCTTCTTCTTAGTTCCCTTCAATACCATCCAAAAATGGTACAAAAATGGTACCATGCTGTGCCCGTAAGGTGACATGGTGAATTAGTCACTGTGACCCACTAAGACAGATCAACCAAGCTGTCGGTCTACCCAGTTACTAATTTGAACGACCGTAGAGATACCTGCTGATGAGAGTGATTGAAACAGCACCAAGCAGTTGATGTTGCCACGTGCAAGCAAATATTCAGTACAAGCCATAGAAGCCGTAGACGAGGGTGTGTCAACATAGGCGTCTTTTCGTTGAGGGGACCCTTAAAAGACACACTCAAATAGGGAGTCCCAAGAAATGTTGCTTTGGTTAGACACGCGCCCCAATTTGGGGGTTCGTTGGTTATCACCTCAGCATTATCCTCCCAACCAAAAAGTCATGTTGATTCTGGAATTTAGTATATACAACACCCATACAAACATTGATATCAAAAAAGAGCCCAGCTTTTTGGGTGGGTGGGTTTGCGCGCAGCTTTGCATTGAACAAACAAAGGCCGCTCTCTTTTTAAAGAAGATCAAGACAAAGACAAACACATCAATGACAAAAAACATAAAAGCGCCAGCACCCCCCAACCCACGGCTTTTTTGCACAGGATTTTGCATGCTGCGCTTTTGCAGTTGTTGGGGGGTTGCTGGCGCAGGCTTTTGTCTTTCTCCGTTTTGGAGCTCGAGGGGCTGCAGGTAGTCCACCACATGCTGCCAGCAGCGCTTGATGGCGGCGCGGTTGTAGTCCGTGGCGCGGCTGGGGAAGGTGTGGCCCATGCCCTGAGTGGGCCCCGAAATGGCTCGAAGTAGCCCTACCAGCTAGATGGGTGATGGGTGATTCAGACTATCCGCATATAAATATACCCGGAAGTTCCTGGATTAGTGGGGATTCAGACTATCCGCATATAAATATACCCGGAAGTTCCTGGATTGGTGGGGATTCAAACAACTATCGGAGAGGTGCACCCCCAACAACTGCCTTTTGCCCAAGTCCCAAATCCCAAGTACTGAGTGGTTTGGGGTGTGCTGGTGCGTGCTCGTTGCCAAGTTAAGTGGTTAGTAACCTAGGTTATCAAAGGATGTTAAAAAATAACTTCCGTACGGTCCGTACGCTAGCTCTCTGCTAGAAGAAAAGAGAAGAACAAACACATTGTGACGGTGTCCGCTACCCCCAAGCCACTACAAACCCAAGGCTAATGGGGTATAGAACTGCTATATGACCACTATTGAAACCATCTTAGATCCAAATACCCTCAGGCTTTTTAACCCTGACTGAAACGGACAGTATTTACCTTCAACAAACCGATTCTCCACATATACGATCTGAACAAAAATGGAGTACGGGGTGGTTTAAACAGTTTGCATTGGTGGTTTGTGGTGGGCATACTCTGGGATTTCCCACCCCTAACCACGCCTCCAAATAATTCGGCTCCAAACAAAAGAAGGAAACTGATGAAGCCGTCTTCCTAAGTGAAACACTCCCCGGCTTGTCTCCATGGGAGTCTCCTTTTGGCCCTTGACACATGAGGTCTCAGAGTCACCCCTTATTTCTGGGTAGATGAACCCCCACGGTTAAAGTGTCATGGGGACTCCAGGTCCAAGTCGGGCCTCCAAAACGAAGCTTCCCATTTTCCTTCAAACCATTGCTTCAGCGCCCGGCTTTCAGATCGACCCAATTGAAGCCGGGGATACCTAAGCCCTGCACGCCAGTTATTTGATTCAGTGCCATGCAAGGAATCCAAGGTTTTGCCTTCCGGGTGTCCTTATTGAAGGCGTGTTTCCTTTGTTTAATATATATATATATATATGTACATATTTTGCTCGCTTGACTGTGCTGTTTGCCCGTCATTTGTTCTTTCTTCACGAGCATGTCTACAAAAAGTAACACGCTGAAGCACTCAACCCTGTTTCTGAACAAACGCGCAACTTGGGAATTAGTTCCCACTGTTTTCCTTCAGGGGCCTTCCATGTGGGCTTGTTCGCCCCCTGGAAAAGATATGAGGGAAACCAAAGGGCAAAGGGAATAAACAACCCCCTGGAAATTTCGGGGGTGGGGTTGGAACAGCCACAAATAGGTCAACCCCTGCCATTCTGTGGAACTTTCAAGAGGGGGACGAATAAACCCATGGCCATTCTGCAGATGTGAACCCCTCGACTCCTCTCCCATTCTGTGGAAAAAAAAGAACTTCAAGGTGGAACAAACCCATGGCCATTCTGCCGCTGTGAACCCCTCCCTTCGTCTGTCCGACTTCCAAGGGGGGCTGAACCAACCCGCCGGTGCTTCCCCCACCGAGCCGTCCCCGACTCCGGCTCGAAAACTCCGCCTGCCAGGTGATCAAGGAGCCTTCGGGGAAGGCGCGCTTCATGTCCTGAGCGGGACGCGGATGGGGGATGGAGGCGGGCTCAGAACGGGGCCGGTGGGGTTTTGGCTGGTAGGGAAGCCCAAAGGAAGAAGGGAGGCCCAAAGGAAGCCAACCATGTGATTCTGTGTTTTTTTTTGTGTTGTGGGAGGGGGGAGGGCAGAGGGGGGGGGGGAGAAAAAAGGGTGTCCCTGTTGTGATTTTGGGGAAACCGGACGGGGGGAGGGGGAGAGCCGAGGGCTTGGATCGACTCTTCAAAGCAGGAATACCCGACACCGTCAAAACCGCAAAGTCAATACCCCTGTAATATGTCCAGTCCCTCACATGCAACAACGTGATGTTTCTCACTGGGCCAGATCAAGACTCCCTGCAGACGGTTGACTGGTTGCTGGTTTCAAGGGAAAAAGATGGAGCACCAAAAAGGCAACAAGTCGAACATGTAAGCCAAGCTCTACAATGATCAAATCAACCATTCCTACGGGCAGGAGGGCGGAGAGGGGGGGTGGGAAGAGCGTGGGTGGGAACAACCATTCACTTCATGTCCTGAGTCACAAGAAGTCAGGCCCAAGACGCCATCAATTTTGAGAGCTCTTTGCGGGATTCACCTCAATTTGCAGGCAGATTGCCTTTCATCGCAAGTTTTTGCGGTTCTGTCCTTTTGACTCACTTGCCATGTCTTTTGGCAACTTCGCGGCTTTGCGAGGTTGAATGGCGAACACTGGCAGGCCAAGGACAGCGCTTGACAAATGGGTCAGCCAGTCACTAGTCCTTGATTTGGTTCGTTCACTAAGAAACCAGCAAAAGGGTTGAAACTCTACAGAAAACCCGAAGCTGGTTTCTACAACACCTTGGTTGGAAATCCTGGATCATTGCAATGTTCATTCCTGCCAAGATATGTTGTGTTGGAACCCCTGACAGTATGTAGTTGCCAAAGGGAGGTACCCAGGAGCCTTGAAGGGTCCTCAAACCCAAGTCCACAGGACTCGCTTCACCCCACCCGTTCATGAGAGAAACCAACCAAAACTCAGCTTGGCGTTTTCTGTGCTTGAAGGCCTGGTATCATCCGCTTCCGAAAATGGCTCAAAGTGGTCCAGCACAACCGGGTTTTATCTGGGAATGACATCCAACAGGTAGTGGCCCCAAACTGCCAGAGTTGGCTGCGAATCCCAAACACTTGGCAAAAGACATGGCGACCATTGAAGGGGTTTTGGAGCAGAACTTGATGAAAAGCTACACCCTTTGAACCGTCTGGGCCCGAACCGCCTCGGTATTGTTCCCAATCTTTGGGAGTCCAGTTCTCCAGTCTAAATGTTCCGTATGCAAGTGGCGTGCTGGCTCTCACTTCCTTTTCCTCGAACACCAGTGAAAATAACTGAACCAAAAAGAGGAAAAATCGCGGCAAATGCAAAGAAGAAAGCCGAACAAAAAAAGAGAAAAAACAAGATGCTCAAAAGTCCCTCGAGTCGCCTGCGCCCAGCTGTAGCTGGTGGCGGTGTCGAACAAGTTCCCGATGACCAACACCTCTCCAAAATGGGGGGGGGGGGGGCGAATGTCAGAATTTATTTCCCGAGCGGATGGGCCCAAAAGCCTGCCGAACTGTTTGTGCAACCACGAAAACGGTTCTCAGGAACCTTACAAGTCCAAGGAAAGAAAGGCCGTGTCTTAAGAATCCTTAGGCCATAGAATGGTTCTCAAGAAGCCAAACAAAGTCCAGGGAAGGCTACAGGTTCCTCACGATACATCCAAACACCCTTTGCTTAGGGGATCCGCAAGCTGACTTTTTGACTGGCCCATTTGATCGCCCAGGTGCTGGTGACCTTTTCTGATTCGGGACCCCAGAAATAATGATTTGTGTAGATGTCTAAGGGTGTCCATCCTGCTTGGCTGTTGTTCCCCTAAATGGACCCACCCGAAAAGAAACAAAAAAAATATAATAACACGAAGAAGACGATGACAGGTGTTTGTCAAGATTAATAATTCATAGGAACAATAAGGATATCCGGATTAAATCTGTTATCCTAATTCTTTACTTCCAAGATCTTAGGTTCGACTCTATGAACTGGATAAGATGAAGAATTAAAGATAAGGAAAATGATTCGATAATCTCATATCTATATAATACCATTCTATTTCTAGGATAATACCAAAATAGACTTGTAAAGCCAATAAATCCAAATATAAAGAAAGAGAAGCAAAAGAAAGATATGTTAGGGATGAAAGCACCTGCAAGACTTTGGGAGCTACAACAATCAAGACTTAGGAATCCAGCTGCGACAGATTAATTCTTAACTGTGTTTCTCTATCTAAGCATTTCTGTATCTCTCCAAATCTCAGGAATGCGTATCACTAAAGAAAAGACCGAGAGATACCTGATAAGATTGTAAACAAACAAAAGCTTCGGTTTCCATGTTTACTTGTTGTTTAGTTGCTGTGCTCCCCCTGCACCTCAAAAAGAACCCCAACATGCTCTTCGGTGTCTAATTTGTGCTTTCTTCTTTCTCCAGACATCTCGTTTGGTCGAACAAAAAACAATCGGTTGTGGCTTCCCCCTCATTCAAAAACATGGCGGTGCCGCAACTGTGTGGGTTGGCTTTCCCCCTCGAAAAGACCAACCTATAAACTGTCCCTACCAAAAAACGACACCCGGCCACAAACCGCATTTCCTCTCAAGAGAAGCACAAAAAACACACACGTCCAAAACACCCAGTTGGCCATGGGTCAAAAGCCAGCCTGTACCCCCAGTGAACATCCCAATCCCCAGTAAAATAGGTTCTAAAATGGGTGACCTACCGCAAAATGGCACCATTGGTTTTGAAAACCACTGCCATTTGTTGGGCAAGGGCGGCTGAGCACCTGCACTGTGGAGCTACCCATTGGCGCAGTAGGCGTCGCCTTCCTAAGCTCGGGGCTCAAAGCTGACTCCGAATGGCGTACCCCTGCTGGCGAAAGAGGAAGACTGACCTCCGTTTGTTTAAGCCCACGGGAAAAAATATATATAATATTTCCTGTAATGATAGATTCCCTTTAAAACCACAAGGGGATAATAACAAATATTCTTAACAAAATGGAAGACTGAGTAACCTCCATTTCTCACCTCCTGGGCGGATTGGCCAAACAAAGTCTGACTTGTTTGTCCACCGCCAAAATGGACGAACCCCGAAAAGCTTAAAGTTCAGGAGCTCAGGAAGTGAGATTTGCGTTTTGTCTGGAAAAAATGAGCGAATATGTCCGGTGGTATTCCATTCACTTCCCTTCAAAACCAGGGGGACATAAAACTTCTTCAGCGGCGATCAGTTAGCATACCCAGATAGGCACAGTTGTCCGGAAAATGGGGCCAGAATTTGGGGGGGGCAGGGAAACAAGGGGTGAAGGGAAGTTGTAATCCCAAACAAAGAGTTATGTCCAGATGATGTTTCATATTTAGTCTTAAAACTAAAAAACGTTAAAACAGAGGAGACCGCAAACAAATACAATAAAGCTCAAAACTGCACCCTTGATCAAGTGGGGCTGACGTGCTGCTTTTGTGGTTGGCTTATTGGGAGATTAAAGGGAAACCAACCTTCAGTCTGGCTTGGAGATGTCATTGTTCCGGAAAGGAAATGAACTTTGATTTCGGAGCGTGTGACCGTCGGAACACTGTGTTGGGGAACCAGGGAATCCCGAAGGGAAACCTTACCCAAACCGTTGCCGGGAAAACTGCAGGCGAAGGTACCTTTTGTACAAGTCGCTAACAAAAACCTGGACCCCCTTCCACCCGCCTCCCCCTCCCGCCGGGCGGTCCAGGCGGTATCCCTGACAACCCTGGAACCCTTCCCAAGAAAGGTGTGGCCACATGACATCCGAAGTGTGGGCAGGAGCTTAGAAAGCCGAAGGGAATTCAACCAACGCACCTGGATTTTCCAAGGAACTCCTCCTGTTAGGAGGCCACAAAACATGGTTATACCACTTGCCAATGAGGGATGCCCAAAAACAGACAGGGTTGGGCCATGCCCTTGAAGCCTATTGTAAGACACTTCATTTGAGCAACATCCTTGTGGCTTTCCTGTATGGAGCACCAAGGTCTTGTTGCTCCAACCGGTATTGCGCCCTCGCCAAATCCTTAGCCTCGCTATGATTTGTCACGAAGAATACCCTCCCAAATGGGCAGTGGTAAATCCCAACCTACAATCAGGTCAACCCGAGGGTCCAACGACTTAAAGCTCCTTTGCTACATGAAGGCCTAAACAATTGCCAATACCTCTACTGTGACCCTACGCTTGTGACAAAATTAAGCTTTCTGGTACCCCCCCCGGCTAAGCTGCAGCCGGGCGGCATGGGCCAGAGGAAGTACCCGGCCATGTCTCCCACCGCGGCCGCCAGCCCAGCGTCCCCCCAGGCCGGCTCCAGCGTGCGCCACTGCCGCATGAGATCCGGGAGGTCGTAGTAGCCCGCCAAGTCCAAGCCCCACACAGCCTTTGAACAAAAATGAAAACCGGAGCCCGGTGCGTCCAAAGGAAACCCCAAACCCAACAAAGTTGCGAACCATTGCGGTTTCTGGGAATTTATAATGGTTTGTCATATTTTGGAGTTGCTATTTCCTGGTGTTGGCTGGTTGCGTTTGGGAAACCAAGACGAAGGGACGGTTTGCTGTTGTGCTCCTTGTTGTCGTCTGTTTTTGTGTACAGGAGGTGAAAAATGTGCGAAAGGCTGGGTGAACAAGGCCCGTGTGACAAGCCAAAGAAACTCACTTCCGATCGAGCGAATTACCATCATGGGGGGTATTTTGGGGGAGGGGGGGGCAGTGATGGGAGGCTGGGTTTCTCCATCCATTGTTGCTTGTTGGGTGTATGTATTAAGTGTCCTTGAGATCGAGCGGGTTGGCAAAAAACGCCAAACTTGTCGTGATTGCCCCCAAAACAAACAGAGTTTCCCCAAACATACCCCAAACTTTGCTCTAGGTCAACGAGGGCAAGTCTCTGCACATGCCAAACGCAGGCTCTGCAAGCTGCTATGAAAGCGCCATACCGAATTCGTATGGAAGAAGCATCTTCTACAATGCAGCTATTCAGCGTATGTCCATGTCTGAGAAACTGCCAAGTGCACAAAGTGAGCATGACACATGTTTTTGTCATCCATCACGCATCTCGTGAAGCACTGACTCTAACATGGGACAGATATCATGAGCCGGGCACACCCGCCTGTGGAGCAGGCTGCAAACCCTGGACATGCAAGAAACATCACAAGTCTGCTCGCGTCAGCCAGAAGCGGTGCGAGCAGTGCGTGGGCCCGTGGGTAGGTGGGCGCGTGGATGTAAGGGTGCCGATTCTTATCCCAGCGTTCAAGAGCGAAGCACTCGCCGGTGTCTCGGTGCAGCGCGTGGCATGTAGCTGAACTTCTAGCGTTCTTAAGCGATTAGAACGTTTTCCGGCGTTCCGAAGCGATTTTTAATCAGCGTTCCGAAGCGACGGTTTTCCCAGCGTTCAGGAGCGATGCGCTTACCCAAGTCAGGGACATGAAGCGAAAACAAGTGGCTGGTAGAGGAGGGAGGGTGATGATCAGGGTCTTGAGCGATGAAGGAGATTGTGGACCACCGGGATCCCTGCTGCACTCAGGGTGGCCGACACATAGTCCAACTGAGCTTGATTGACCGGGGCTCCTTGCATGATGAACGGCATGACCAAATTCCGTTGTTGGTGAGGCTGGTCGAGCTGGTATTGTGACAGCTGCAGCTGCAGGTTGGCCTCGTAGGTGTGGTCGGCCGCGTAGGGGTGGCCGGCAGAGCTGCGAGTGAGGAAGGGGTGCTCGGTGAGGTCTTGCCGTATCTGCTGGAGCTGCCGGAGTGCTCCTCGGATCTGACCGCCTTGCTTCCCTTCGCAAGAGCGGTGGCGGAGATCGATCTGTCTCTTCCTCTTGTCCGAGTTCGCGCCGGAGGTGCTGTCGGGGGCGGCATGGAATTCAATTAAGTAGACGCCGACAGGGGCGGTCTCGGTGCCGGTGGAGTATAGGCGCTGGCGTAGACGCTGACGAGATCGTAGTCGCTGGCGTGCTGCCTTGGCCAATCCGGTAGTTGCCGCCTGTGGTCCCGTGGGTGCCAATGGCCTCGTAGTTGCAGGCCTCACCATTCCGCATCGCTGAAGATGGCAGCGGGAGCGCCTTGACAGGGATCGTGGGTAGTGGTCCTGCCGATGGACTTGAGGTCGGGGATGCCGTAGGCGTTGAAGACGGTGCTGACTTCACGGCCGGTGGGTTAGCCTTTGGGGCTGATGGAGACGTGGATTGCCGAAGAAGAGCCCGAGATGGAAACCCGGTGAACGGCGAGGAGTGGGCCCTGCCGAAGAGGTTGATGGGTGCCATGCGTCCTGCCGAGTTGGAGCTGAACATGGGACCTGCGTCAGGGCGCCTCATCAGGAGCCGTCACAAACGAGCCAGATATGCCTGACGGCAAGCGGGTCTGAAAAGGAAGTCCGAGGGACACGGTGGGGAGTCTCGATAGGCTTTGGGTGAAACATCAGAGTATGTAGTGAAACCTGGCCCTGGAATGCTAGGAGGTCAGGTAGAGGTCCAAATCAGTGGAGCAGGTCAGGGGTAAAGGTCATCAAGGTCAGGGGTAAAGCTCAGTCGGTAAGGTCTGAAGAAAAGGTCTGCGCATGAGACAAGTCGAGTGCCCCGTGGGGTTCACGACACTGACCGTGGCTCGGAAGCAGTGCCACGGCAACCCAAAAAAGGAGTTTCGTCAGCTTACCTTCCCGATGCCTTCCCATGTGGTGGCTACTCGTCAGACCTGCATCACCACATGGTACTAAAGAAGGGGGCCGGTTCGCCGGTGCAGGCTGACTCCGACAGGAACCTCTTAGAAACAGGCAACACACACACACACCCATGCTTTGAGCAAATCCACTTCAATCCAAGCAGCACACTGCTCCAGGTACGGGTCCGCGAAGGACACTCCGGAGGACTCCTCGTTCTCGTTGGTGTGCCCCGGGCCTACGCAAATGTCGTAGTAGTACCAAGTGCTGTAGCCTCAGATTTTGACTTCTCTTTGAAGCGCTAAGGCAAACGCATCGGCTTATTGCGTCTTAAGGTAGAGGACCCCCAAAATGGATTCCGGTGTTCCTTTCGGATTCCCTTCCAAACGGGTACCCTCAGAAAGCACACCCCCTTATGGTTGGGGCGGGACCTGACCAAACTTCAAGTGTAGTGGTTTGGGGGAGGGGGGGGCGGCAGATTTGGAACCATCTTAGAATTTGTCATATGCGATGTGCGTGCAACGAAAGCCAAGCTTTGTCCAATCTGCTCATCTAGGTGCGCCAGCTGCTCCCGATACTGTCAACAGGTCAGGTCAAGCCGACCAAGAGAAGTGATGAGTCACAAGTGATGTCACGCTCGCAAGTCTCTAAAAGTGAGGGCTTCGGAAACTTTGACTTGCATTTCCGGGGCAACTGCAAAGAACACAATTCAGAGACAAACCAACAAATCAACCTGATGACTAGGGGGTTTGTAACAGGATCCCCCAAAATGGGACACCCCCTATCAAAACCAACCAGGGTTTCTTAATCCCGGATATCCCGGGCTCCCATTCATTCTGGCCAATGACCCTAACCATATCATATATCGTTTTGCAGTCGTTTGGCGCGTTCTACTGCACATGTTGGTGTGTCATGTCCAGCCCTTTACATATTGGTCTTCCAGAGGTCTTGCTGGTCGCTCATATGTGCATTCGACATCCCCAGATAATTCCATTAGACCTCCCCGCAAAAAGTCACATAAAGTAGACCGTTGGATGTTCCAAGCACTTGCGCTCTCTCTCTCTCGCTCTCTCGCTCTCTCGCTCTCTCTCTCTCTCTCTCTCTCTCTGTCTCTCTCTCTCTCTCTCTCTCTCTCTCTCTC